AATCTTCATGGATGGGGAGTTTTGGGCCTTCCTGCCTGATCTCCCCCATCTTTAACCATCTTTATAGTTGCTGCTTTCTCCTAATATCTAACATCTCCTTCTGTGCCCATTGAGCTAATAGCCTTACCTTCGGAGAGCACAAGAAGCAATTTAATCAGTCTTCTTTAAAACAGCCTGGCACATCTGGTAGGATTTTGGTTGCACCTCTTCTCATCTCTCTTCTCTAATGGCAGGGAAATGGGTCCCTCTGTATCCCACCATAGGAAGCTCTGAGCTTCCCAGTGAGGAGGGGAAGAGCGGGAGGCAATGTTCTGCTTCTGGGCTGGGGAAGAGCTTCTCAACAGTGGCTGCTCTGAGAAAGGTCCCCTTTCCAGGGGTTGCTGCAGTGAAGACCAGGAAGGGGTTAGGCAGGAGCAAGGACGGAGCAGAAAGCAGTGACTGATGGAAGTCTGGGACAAATAGCAACTAAAAGGTTAGAGGGAAGGTGGAGCTTCAGGGCACCTTAGAGGAGAGAGGTCTCATTTTTCAAATTTGTTGTTGCTTTCTGTCACTTTGTATGCAATCTTTGGAGTGTTAAGAGAAGTGAAAATGTTTGCAGCTCCTCTTTGGAGAGGGGAGATCCTTTGCAGGCTGCTGCAGGGAGGTGGCACCTGGGGCCGGGCTGCTGCGGTGCTGGGTGCACTCGGTGCTCGGAGCAGCCCCGGTGTCAGAGTTGGGCAGTCAGGGCTTCCTCCCTCATTTACTGGGCTGATTTAGACAGGATCATGGAGACTAGACACCCTGTAGTAGTTTTTAGAACGTGGAGAGGGGGAGAATAGCAGGAAGGGCTCTCTGATTTTTCCCTTAGCCATCATTTCCAGGGCAGCGGGTGGATGCTTGCAATCTCCTACTGTCCTTCAGAGACCTCGCCTTTTTGCTGGTTTATGCTGAATCCCTACACTGAATTCACTACGCTGCAAGTTCTCTTGATGTTTTATTTTCCATCACCTGCAGCTTTCTTTACCCTTTTTTTTCCCCAAGGCTCCAATCCCTCTTGCTGTTTTGTGGTAATTGGAGTGGTCTCCTTCTCTCCGTTCCCTCACTCCTTTCTTCCAGTTATCCCAGTTGTCTTTATTTACTCTTCCTGCTCCTGTTTCTCCTGCTCTTTATTCACCCGCATCTATGTTTCTCTTGCATGCAGCGCTGTTCTTCTCCTATATTCCTTCCCACCCTGTTCTCAAAGCACCATGTAGGTGGTTTTCCCCCTGTGAATCTTGCTCTGTGAAGTTTCTTACATGAAGTAAAAAAAAACCCCTTGGTACTTTTGCAGACATTCCTCTCTTCCTGTTGCTGACTGTCTCTTCCCCCCACCTGAGTGGAATCTAAACAATTAAATTTCTCTAAATAGCTCCTCTTCCCCTGTGTGCCTGACTCTTGCCCCAAGCCAGCTCCTGCCAGGCTGCCTTGTGCTTTGCCATCAGCCTTTCCAGAGGGTCAGCATCCCTCCCAAAGCAGGCGCGAGCACCACCGGAAGCCACTGCCAGAGCCTGGCATTGCCCCCAGGCTGCCCACGGAGCCACAGTTAATCTTGTCCAGGTTTGCATGGTCGGCAAGTATTACAAAAATTATTTGAATTCCAGTTCAGAATTGTTTATCAACTGTCCAAACTAAATGAAAAGCAAAACTTCTCCTAGTACCTGGCTGCCAAAACCTCCTGGCTACAGACAGGTCTCCAAGACACAATCTCTCCTTAAGCCTTATATGATGAGGGAGGAAAGGAGGCGGCTGCTGCCTGCCCCTCCCCTAACCTCCACTTTTTGGAACCTCCCTCTCTCCATGAATAACTCCAGTGTCTGCCACTGGTGCTGGGCAGAGCTTTGCCAATCATCCTCCTCAGCAGGAAGTGGACATGATTTTGATAGTGTCACTCTACCACACACGAGACACTGAATAGCAGCAAGAAAACTGAGCAGTTTTGTTAATCTCGCTGGTGTTTGGCAACCTCTCAGCAGCAGCCACAGAGGCACTACAGCTGTCTGTCTGCAGCCCCAGGAATACAATGCTGCATTATTTTATATTCGGCAGATCATCTTTCCAATCATAAGGTCTGGAACGTTTTATATATTTACTTCTTGGTGAGGAAAGCTTCCTACTGTCTCTAATCAACAGATTTTGCAAGACCCACTGTCTTGTGAGTTACAGAGATAAATGAATTGATACTTACAAAGCACTTCGGGGTCCTAAGGTGGAAATACAAAATAGTGTGTGTATGTTTTGGAAACGACCTTGGAATAAGTTACATGGTATGGTGTCATTCCCAGTGATGCAAGTCCAACCACATCCTCCATCCAGATACTCCTGAAGGCTCAATTTTTTTTCCTCTGATGTTCACAGATGTTAGCTCACACTGATCCTCTTCTCCCTTCCCCAATGTTATTTTGGCGAAGAAAAAGCAAATAAAATAATAAACATAATGAAAAAAAAAAAAAAGACACAATGCAGCATTTTAACACTATGTCCCTCAGAGTGCTCTACTTGTACTGTCTTAAAAATAACACACATTTAAAATTATAGTAATGCACTGGTAGCAAACCAAGAGAGGTTATCCTTGAGCGTGTCCAACACTGGGCTCTTGTTTCTTTTGTTTCTTTCTTGTGTTTAATTAGCATTAGTAGTGTTACTAGGCTGGACAATTACGGAGCATAAAACCTGTGCCAGGTGACTTGAAAATATTAGTTCCCCCTCTGGAGCATTTGCCCTCCAAATGGGAGAGAGCAGGTGCCAGGAGGCAGCGTAGCAGCCGTGAGCTTGGGCAGCGTGGCAGGCAGCAGCAGGGCTTTCTGGCAGCCCAGCTTTGTCCAGGTTTCCCAGGACATGCAAGGGGAGATGGCCGGGATGCTGCCTCAGCACTGCCGCTTCCACTGGCCGTGCAGCCCTTCCATCACTGCCAGCTGCAGTACCACCTCTGTACGTTGTTATTTATATTTCCCTGCTGCACCAGCCCGGCTGCCTCTCAGGGCATCTCCACCCAAAGTGGTGACTTCAGCCCTGTGGAATGATGAGTGGGTTATTTTGGAGAACCAGCCTAGCCTGGACCAGTGGCAGCAGGAGCTGGGATGCTGTGTAGCTCAGTTCCCAGGGGCGGCTACCAAGTGTCTGGTGTTGAGTGTGTTGCTGTGCCCAAGCACAGGGCCAGGAGACAGGATGGTGTCACTGACCCAGCCCAGGAAATAGAGTGGGTGAATGGTGGTTTGGCAGAGCTAGTGGGCAGAGGATGAATTTAACTCAGAGTTGCAGCCTCAGGATGAGCCCACGTAATGAAAGATACTATTGCAAAGTATTGTTAAAACAAAGGTGTCCTGGTTCCTCTCCAGTAGGGAAATGAGGTATATTGGCATGTGGAAGAACAGTCATGAGAGAAGGGGAAGAAAGGTCAAATGAGGATGGCACTGACCTAAGCTGTCAATACCCCACTCTAGGGTACAGGGACTCGTGCTAGAAGGAGGCAGAGATACCTGCAGGGAGTATTTGGCAGCACAGTGGCACATGCCTGTGAAAACCCCTTGCCATGAGAGGGGCTCACAGCACTGTCACCGGAGGTTTTGGGCAATGCTCTGTTCCAGTATGCCACAGATACAAAGAAATACTTTCTCCCAGAGTGATGCATGGTGCAGTCAGGAGAGGTTACAACTCTTCTCTGACTTAAGCTTTACAGGTATTTCACTTGTTCCTCGCTGAGCTCCTCCAGCCACTCAGGCCAGATTGCCCAAGAGCAGCAGTGGAGTACACAGACCTGCTCCAGAAGCAGCTTGTGGATGAACTTGTGTGGCAGTAGAGCTCGGCACGAGTCTGTCTGTCAGCCTGAATGAGCAAGAAGACCGCGGTGCCTTGGGGGCCAGCCCGACCCCCCTCCTGGGAGCCGCGGGCAGAGGAGAGCGGCCGGGCTGTGCGTACCTGGTGCTGAGGGGCTCCGCGGTGCCCGGCAGCAGCTCTGCCCGGGGTCCTGCCGCCCGGGCGCTGCCGTGTGGGACCGGGCAGCCCCTGACCCCCGCAGGGTCACCGCGTGCTGCCGGGGGGCAAGAAGGCACCAGGGCTCCGGGAAGGCGCCTCGGCTCCCTCCTGCCCGGCCGGGGTCCCGGGGCGAGGAGGGCAGCCTCGGTCCCGACCTAGAAGCGCCCTCGGCGGGCCGGTCCTGGGCCGTCCCCGCGCCGGCTTTAACCCGCCCGGTGCCAGCGGCCGCTCGGCAGCGCTGAGACACCGGGGGGACCCGCGCCGGGGTGTCCGGGGTCCGCCGCGGCGAGTCCGAGCGCGGCGGGCCGGGCCTGGCTCCGCCGCCCTTTGTCCGCCGCCCCGGGGCAGGTGCGGGCGGCGCGGCCGGGTACAAAGCGGCCGCGGGCTCCCGGGCTGCTCCCGCCACCTTCGCGCCCGGCATCGGGCGCGCTCCCCCGGCGCGGTGCGGGCGCGGCTCCCGGCGCTCGGCCCCGGCGCCGCCGGCGGGTTTTATGCGCAGGGCGGCCGGCGGGCCGGCGGGGGTGGGAGGAGCCGGGCAGGTTGTGCCCGCCGGGCCCTCCTCCCTCGCTCCCTCCCCGCCCGGCGGAGAGGGGTCGGGGGAGGGGGCAGCATGGCCTGTCCGTCCGGCCCCTTTTCCAGCGCTCATCTGCCCCGGGAGTGCGGCGCCGCTCCTCGCAGGGAGAAGAGGTCCGAATGGAGACAGACGGCAGCCAGCCCGGCCTCGCCTCCCCGGACTCCCCGCACGACCCCTGGTATCGCCGCGGCGGCCGCCACCGACCGCCCCCACCACCCCCCCCCTCGGCCCCGGCCGCGGCCGCCCCCTCCCCCGGCCCCGGCCACCCGGCCCGGGCAGGCGCGGCGGCGGCGGCGGCGGCGGCGGTGCCGCTGCCAACATGGCCGATCCGCGCCCTCCCCTCCCCGCGCGGCCCCGCCGCTGCCGCCGCCACCCCCGCGGGGCACCGCGGCCCCTCGGCGCGGCCCCGCTCACGGCTCTCCCCTTCCTCCCGCAGCAAAATGTTCATCGGGGGACTGAGCTGGCAGACCACGCAAGGTGAGCGCCGCGGGGCCCCGCACCTGCCGCCGGGGCCGGGGGTGGCGGGGCCGGGGCCGAGCCGGGGGGGGTGCGGCGGGGCTGGGACGGGCCGGGTCACCCACGGTGGGCGCTGTGCTTGCAGAGGGCTTGCGGGAGTACTTCAGCCAGTTCGGCGAGGTGAAGGAGTGCCTGGTGATGCGGGACCCGCTGACAAAGAGATCCAGGTGAGAGGCCGGGCCCGCGCCTCCCTTCGCCCCCGCCGCGGCCCGGCCGCCACTTTAACCAACTTTCTCTCTTCTCTCCGCATCCCCTTTCCTGCCCGGGCTGCGGGCCTCAGGGGCTTCGGGTTCGTCACGTTCATGGACCAGGCTGGCGTCGACAAGGTCCTGGCCCAATCCAGACATGAATTGGACTCCAAGACGGTGAGATGACTTCTCTCATCTCAGGGGTGCATTTGCCGGCGGAGCGGCTGCGCTCGGAGCAGCCGTCGATTGCGGTGTTTGATTTCCAGTTAGAGGTTGTAAACTATTGATTCCTGATACGGATCGATCGTCCCCTTCTCTATCCCACTCGCCGGCGGGTAGCTGAGCTGCCTCCCGAGCACTGGGCTCGCCGTTGACCCGGGGCTGATTCCTGGCGTGGGTCTGTGGATCCTGGTGATGGTTTTCCTCCTGCCCATCGGTTGTAAGGCCCCTCTGAGGAGTGACCGTGGCTCTGTCGGAGGTGGGACACCTGATCGCGTTTGGGGTGAGGATTTGCCCCCGGGAATGGATGCGGCTGCGTTTTGGGGAGAGGGAAGCCGCCCTTTCGCTCCGTGTGGTGCCGAGCACCGCTCCCTCCCCAGGGGTGCTGTTCCCCAGCGCCCAGGCCCTGCTCCCCCGGCCATGGTGGCCTGTGCCCCCCCTCGGCAGAGGGCCCTCGTGCTGTGCACCCCGGAGACTCTCCTGTGGTTTCCCCGAGCGAAGTTTTTGTAACGGTCATGGAGGTTCAGGACTTTATTGTCTCCGAGTGTGGCCAGTGCCCGCCCATGTGGGCCACCACCGGCCTCTTGGAGCGGCTGCGGCTCCAGCCCTCGCTCTGTAAGTAGGGTCTGATGAGGAGCCTGGCTGGGCCAGCAGAAGGATTTTGGTGGCTCCTTGGGCTGGTGGAGTATGGTGGCGGGTCCTGCCTTGTGAATTTGTGGCGCTTGGGAGATGTGCAGGCTGTTTTGAGGGGTGGGGGTGAGGTGTCTGAGTGGGAGGTCCCTTCTCTTTAGTTTTAGTGACTTGCCTTCCCCTGAATTCCTTTTCCTTATTGCTGCCCTGGGGTGAAGGTGAGGGTAGGGATGGGGGAGCGGTGGGGGCTGCGAGGGGCTGGCACAGTGAGGGGAGATGTTCTGGCTCCAGGCATGGGCTGCCGAGGAGTCCAGATGCCCAACTTTATTTGCTGCAGCGCGTGGCTCAGACGTTCTAGCCTTTATCTTGGCAGAGGGAGAGGGCGGGAGAGCAAGACCCTCTTTCTTAGGGTTTACGGCATGAGTTGCAGCGAGATTTATGTCTGTTCCTGTTTAACTGCCTGGATCGCTCCCTTTGATGTGCACAGGTCCTTCCTCCCCACGGGAGCTCCCGGTTAAACCTACCCCAGCCTTCCTGGCTGAGGCTGGGTCCCCAGGACTCCCAGCCCTCTTCCTTTCAGGCATGATGTAAAGTGAGTTTTGCTCTATAGGGAGGGTTACAGTAAAGTCTTTTGAGAAGGGCCCAGGGCTTTCTTTTTTTCTCTTTTTTTTTTTTTTTTTTTTTTACTAGCCTGTGTAAGCACGATATCTGCTCAGCTAGCCCTGTCATGAGTCTGTGGGCATAGACCCGTTTTGGAAAGGCTGGTGCTGGATGTCTGTTGTAGCACTCACCCTGAGAGTGTTTTGGGGCTAGGAGTGAGGTGAAACACACACTGTCTTCATTCTTCTCCCTGAACCACCCCTGCTACCTGTGCGAAGCCACTCTGCAGCCCACGGTGTGGCCCACGAGGGTGGGGAGGGCTGGGCAGGGCAGGGCAGGGGCGGACAGTGAGCTCTGCAGGAGAACAGAAGGGCCTCATGGCGCAGGGCGCGTGGGGACCGGCCAGCCATTGAAATTCCCTGCTGCATCTGCTCCGCTCGCCCCGCCGGCGCGGCACGGAGAGTGGGGGCAATTTTACCAGGGCCTTCCTTTGTTAGGAACTTTGATCCTCTTCCTCCTTCCTTCTTCATTTTGTTTAGCGCGGTTTTCAACTGGGTCAGATGTTTTGGAGAGTTTTGGCTCGCGAGAGGTTGGTCTTGTGGTGGTGCATGAAGCCTCCATATGCCTTTTCCCTGCTGAGCTGAAGGGCACTGCTGTGAGTCGTGGGTTAAATGACAGAGACTCATCTGAATCTTAATTTAGAGTTTTGTGAAACTTTTCAGGAAAAGGCCCGGTGTCCTGTAAGGACAGCCTGCTCTTGAGGCTTGATGTCTTCTGGCAAGCAGCATTTGATAGACAGTGTCTGCTCAACTTGTTGCTTCATTGTTTTGTGATTCTTCCTACCCTAGAAAGGGTGGTTGGCCTGATTCTTCAGGGAAACCTTGTCCTTTTAAGACTTCTCTTTGTCTGTAAGCTAGATAGGAGCAGGCTACAGGGTTATTTTTGAAAATACTTGGTATGAGAATTGGCTTTACAGTTTCAAGGTGAAAGATTTGCGTGACTTTGTGAAGCTGCAGCTGGCCGCTGCCTTGAGCTGCTTCTTTACATGCTCTGGGAAGAGCACTTGGCAGTGCTGGGTCTCCCCGTCGTTTCTTTGTTGCCGTTGCTGAGTTTTTGTCTTTTGTGGTGGAGGGAACAATCTGCAGCTTCCAGGCAGCGCAGACCAGTGGGGCGGAGGTAGTGGTGGAGGTGTGATGAAGGAACAAACCCAGTCCTGAGGTCTCCTGGGTCTTTCCCAGCCCTCCCCATGTTTTGGGACACCAATACCAGCTGGGTTATCACAGGAGTTATGTGCCCTGAGCTATGAAATAATGCTATAGGTGGCCTGAAGAGCTGTACTGAGGACCTGGCTGGCCTGCTGGTACACCTGCGACATCAGTGCTATTCCTCATCCCCAAAGCCTTCTGGGGTGAAGGGGAAGGGGCTTGAGCTCAGGTGACTTCCACTCGGTGCAGCCTGATCTGGGGTTTTGTTTTTTTGGATACAATCTGAGCAGTTCTGAATGCTCTCACTCTTAGCAGATTTCTATCTAGGTTTGTAAAAGGGATCCATTACGTCAGTGGGTGACAGTGAAACACAACTCCTCCAGAACTATTTGTTTTAACACTAGAAATGAGGGAATAAGGTACCAGTGCTTTTGCTTTAATTATGAAAGACTCGAGCCACCAAGGAGCAGTCCAGTTTGAGTAACTTGAATCCAGCACTGAACTCGCTCCCCTCCGCATGTTCCCAGGGCTGCGCCTGCAGTCAGGCACCCCGGCTTCCCTCTACCTGCAACAATAGCTGGTTGTGCAGAAGAATTTGTGAAATGACTGCCTGCTCTCTCCAGCCAGGAGGACACGTTATCTCTGCCCAGTTGATCACACTCAGGGTAATGAGAAAATGAGGCTGAGCTTAGCATTGCTGAGTATGAAAGCATCTTATTGGCAGGAGCTGAATGACACTGGCTGAGAAGTAAAAGACAGTAGATTATTGTTTTTGCTTATTATCTGCCATCAACCTCCTGGTCTCCTGCCGTCCCCTGTCCTCAGAATTCGCTGTGGGTGTCTGCACTAGCCAGGAAGCAGTGGGGGTGTGTGTTGTGTGCGGGGAGGGGAGGGCAGGGACTGGACGGTTCCGATGCCCCAGGGAGGCACCAGAGGGTTTGCTAATCTGCTGGCGCTTGGAGCTTGGGGAGGGAGGTTTATTTTTGAGTTTATTTGTGCTCTTCACTTTTGCCTCTGTTTACCTACGTGCTGAGTTTATTTATGTTGTAAGCTGTGAGTCAGGATGGAGGTGGGGAAGGCAGGGAGAGAAGCTGGTGGAAGGGCACAGGGGGGCCAAGCTCCGGGGCTGTGTGACAAGTGAAAGGATGCGGGACGGGAGGGCAGCCAGGCTGGAAAGCTGAACAAATCAGTGAGAGGAGCTGGAGAAACACAGCTTCCTTTTGGGCTGTTGGAGCTGCCGGGCTGATGGGACCACGCTCCAGGCTGCCCTCCCAGCTGCAGCCTGTCCAAGTGCAGGGATGAGCCAGACCTGCCTTTACTACAGGTCTTTGTAAGCTGATTTGTAGGTCTGGATCATCCTCGATGTGATGTAACTTTTCAGGAGTTGCTGTAAAAATAGGCCATAAAGAAAGAGGTGGTGGCTGAGAAGGAGAGGAGGCTTTGTGGGTGTTTGACTTGCAGCTGCATTAGTGTTGTCCCAGCTTTTGTGGTGGTGCTGGTGGTGGTGTGAGGCCAGTGCAGGCACGGGCTCCTTCGTGCTGAGCCCAGCAGAACGTGCGGCACCTGGATGGCGGCGCGGGGCCAGCAGCTCCGGCCGGCAGCAGGTTTACAGGGAAGCCGAGCAGGCACAATGGAGGCTCAGCCCGCCAAGGGAGGGAGGGAGGCATCGCGGCTTTGTGTGCGGCACAGCCTGGGGAGAGGGGCAGCAGCCTGGGGAGAGGGGCAGCACGTCCCCTGCGGCCGCAGCCTCTGCAGCCGGGGCTCCTCGGGTTAATTCGTGCCATCCTGTCTGCTCTTGTGCTGCTTCGCCCTGTGTTTGAAGGGATGAAGTGTTGGGCTTTTTGTGCGCTGCTTCTTCTCAGTCCTGTTACTGCCCAGGTGAACTCTGTACTTGTAGGCAGGGTGAAGGGTAAGAGCAGAAAGGCAAAAGAAAGCACTTTTACCATGAGGCTGGTGATGCAGGGCACCCAGGGGCAGGCCGAGCGGGAGGGCGCAGCCCAGCCTGTTAATCCCAGCATGTGATGGGCTCTCAGTGCGTCTGGCCAGCACTCAGCCAGAGATGGACCACTGCATGCTGGGACTTGTAGTCTCCCTGGCTAACACCTTCCTGAGAGGGAAAGATGTCTGCAGCCAGCTTAATTTTATGCACCTCAGGCAGTTTCCTTGGGTTTTTAGCAAGGTGCCGTGTGGGCAGAGACAGCCGTGCACATGGAGGAAACTCTGTGCCTGTAAATAGGCAGGAAAAGCATGTTCACCTGTTCTTCCCCACATCTCTTTCAGATTGACCCGAAGGTAGCGTTCCCCCGCCGAGCACAGCCCAAGGTAAGCACTGCAGGCAGCCCTTGCACCCCAGAGGGTGAAATTTGTGGTGATGAATCTTGTCCCTCTGTGCAAGGCTGTCAGTGCACACAACAGTGTCACTCGCTGGGGTTTGCTCAGGACTCACCTGGAGCACAGTCCTGGGGGTTTGCATGGCACTGGAGGAACCAGGAGGCCCCTCTGTTGTACTTTAGGATGCATTAGTTAAAGCTGGTGGATTAAATGCTGCTCAGGGTGAACTTAGTCCTTCCAAGGTTGCAGAAGGTGTTTGCACGTTCCAGGCCTTAAAAGATACAGAACAGCTCCGTGCTGTGCTGTGATACAGGTTGGAAGAGTGCTCTGTGTGCGCACCTGTGCGTGTGAATAGGTGTATGGCAGGGAAGGGGAGAAGGATTTCACTTTGTGAAATGCCCTTGTGTGCTTCAGCACTGGAAAAGGCAGAACGAGTTTGGTGTTGGACCTTATCTACAGAAGGCTCTGGCATTGAAATGTGCAGTGGCAGGAACTTTTTCCAGGTGTGCAGCTCAAAAACTTTTAACTGAGGAGCCAGCAGCAAGCTGGAGACTGCCTTCAGACTTCGGGTCTTCCTTTAACTTGGCTCTTGGATGTGAGTTTTGAAGTTTAGAGTCTCTATTCCAAGTGCTGTTACGGGTGAAAGAGCTGGGGAGAAGCTGTGTCAAGAAGCAGGGAGGGAAGAGGAGGCTGGCGCTGGGAGGGGAGTAAGGGGTTCAGGCACTGAGAACAATTGGTGAGCAGGTATCCCGAGTAACTGGAGCCAGGAAGCACATGGTAGGAATTGGGTTAATTCCATTAAGCAGTTTGGTGACAGAAGGTGCTTTAGTGTTAGAACGGGCTGCTCTCCAAGCCAGGGAATTGCTGCGGATTAGCCCTATGCTCCTTGGGGTAATTAGGACCATGTGTTCCTCTGAGAGCAGGGGTGTAGCCAAGCAGCTAAGGGGAGGATGCAGCTGGAGAGCCAGTTCAAAGGATGTCGGTGTGCCTCAGCCTGGCAGCCATGGCCCCTCTCAGGGTAGTTAGTTTTCTTCCTTGTCCCAGCTGCGTCAGTGACAAGTGGCAGAGGGATCTTCCCTTTGCCTTCTTGCATAGGCAAAAGACATTTAACTGGGAGTTGACTGGGCTCCACTGAAGTGTCTGGGGAATGGGTGTGAAATGAGGCTTATTCCATTCAAGACTGGATGCTGTGCAGTCTGTGAGCTGGGAGGGTAAAGACTGCAGAGCCTACCTGTGCCGGCAGGCCTCCTGTCTGGGAGCAGAGCGGGCACCTCTGGGGTGGCCTGGAGCAGAGTGGCGGGGCTGGGGAGGGGACAGCTGTGCCCCACACATTTGGGTGCTGTCACAGTGCCAAGGGAGGGGTGGCGGGTTAGTGAGGGGAGAGGCTGTTAACGTGCTGCCTGATGAGGAGGTGGTGTCTGGGTGCTGGCACACAGGATGGGATGGTGTGAGGGGGAGAGCATCAGTCTGGTGTGGGACAGATTTGCCAGTTGTGTTTGGCGAGAGGGCTTTGAGAAGGGGGAAGCTCAGCTGCAGCAAAGGGACTGGCGCTTCCCGGCAGCAGAGGGGAGTTAGGGGCCTTTGGAGTCTCATTCTCTGCTCGCTCTGGGTTTATTTGGTGAATTCCTGTCCTTCCCTTTTCCAGATGGTGACCCGAACGAAGAAGATATTTGTGGGTGGTCTGTCTGTGAACACTACTGTGGAGGATGTGAAACAATATTTTGAGCAGTTCGGGAAGGTAAGTCTCTTGAGTGGTGTTGGATCAAAGCTGTTCTTTCTGGGGCAAAAGGAGTTTTGTGAACTTCTGTGGGGGCGGGATTAGGAGCTTGTGAGTCTTTTGCAAGGGTTAAGTAGATTGAAGGTCAGTTACAGACGTGGCTGGCTGTAATGTCCTTGTAGGGGCTACAGCCAGTGACTCCTGCCTGGTGGTGATTTGAAACAGAGTTTCTGCTTGTTCCCAGAGTTGCTGGTACCTCGGCTAAGGGAAATGGTTTTCCAGTTTTTCCCTATCCAGAAGCCTCGCGTGGCTCATTGATTTGCAGATTGTTGAAACGCTGGAGAAAAGTTTGTAGACACTCCTAACAGAGTGGCTGCAGCATCAAACCTCTGATTTTGGCCAGTTTCTTGTGATTGGTATTTCGATAATCCTTTATGAAAAATAAGCCTTTTGGTCCTGAAACTTCTCCTGCTGAGTCTTGGGCAACTGGTGGTGTAAGTTTTGGAAATTTAAAGAAAGTTTGGCACTCTGACTGTCCCTTATGTTGGCCTGGCTCTTCTGTGGCAGGTGGTGGTTCAGGGGAGGGTGAACTTCTGTGGCTGGAAGTCACTTGTGCCATGGTCCGTGTCATCCAGGTGTGCAAACTGTGAGTCTGGACCGAATCAGAGGATGGAAGGGGACTTAGTCTTGGCCCTTCAGCTGCATCAGGAGGTTGTCAGCATCCTCAGGAGTGATGTCAACAGTATTAGACTGAAGGATTCCAGTATTTTTAATGGGATTAGGAACTGAAGGGGATCATCGTACCCAAGTGCCGAATGCGGTCACCCCTGTGGCAGGACACTGTGACTGTTTTACTGTTGTTTGATGGTGTTGTGCAGGGATTTGCTCTTTGGGGCAGGCAGTGTTGGATTCTGTATCTGTTGGGACCTTCCTGCCCAGTTTTGGGGCAGACACAGTTTGGTGGGCAGTAACAGGGCCAGAATGCTGCAGACACCATCGTGGATATGGAGGGAAGTAGCACGAAACTGCAGAGTGTGGGCATAAAGGCTTTGGTATTAATTTAATTTTCTTTTGAAAGATCCTGCAAAAGGGTGATGTTATATTAAGGTACATTAACTGGTGAAAAGAAGAGGAGTTTTGTAACCAATTTTGCCGTATTGTTGAAACTTCTGGGCAGAAAGTTTAGGAGAAGTATTTGCTCAGAACCTTTGTTCAGCTTCTGAAGTCAAATCTGCCTGTGCTGGTGTGCAGAGTGGGACTCTGTATTTCTGTTCAGTCCTAGGAGAAAGTGTCAGATGTCCCCTGATTTCCAGTTGTTAACTCCGTGTGGTTTAATTTTCTGTTAGAAATAAACAAACTCAGACCTCCCCAGGAGTTTTTACATGGTGCCATTGAAGGTGCCACCACTAAAGGTGGTGTGGTGTTCATGTTACCTGAAGGTTGTTTGACTTGCAAGTTCTCCTGCCCTGCTGATGGATGTATTCGATAGGAAAACAAAATGTCTTGGGCATAGTCCCCTTGTAACCTCACTGTATGGCTGTTCATTTGAAGCAGAAGGATGTCACTCGGATCGCGGGCATTTAGAGCTGCTCTGCTCTGAGCAGTCCTTCCCGGTTCTTTTGGGGTGTTGTGCTGTTACGTTCCTCTTGTTTACTGGTGTGCTGAGAGGTGCCCTGACGTCAGAGACTGGCAAGAACTGGTTGTGTCAGATTGTTTTCTGGACTGGGCAGAAGGGAGAGCTCTGCACAGCTCGGTGTGATCCGCACCAGCATCCCGGACAACGTGCAGCGCTCCCAGCGTGCACGAGGCCGGTGCAGCTGGACTCCTGGCTCAGGGGAGTGTCCGTGGGGACAGGTCAGGGCTGGGCAGATCGACTCACAGTTTTTGGGGCTGTTTTCTGACTCATCTGCTTGCTCACTTCAGCTGAGTGATTCCTCAGAGCTCTTGTGTAAAGCAGCGTTCCTGGCCTGGAACAATCTTCCAGACTAAGCCTCAAATAATTCACCCAAGGCCTGGAGAGCTGTTTCCTGAGATTCTCTCCAGCAGATAGCTCGGTGTGGCTGATGGGTAGGATCAGTGGGAAAGTCTGTTTCAGAGGAAAGCCTCCATGGCCTTCAGCTATGGGATTCTGAGCTCTGAATGTGCTCTGATGGTTTGCAGGGCTAAGAAAGGTCTGTTGTGTTCAGTTTCAGATGTGACTCATGGAGAACATGATTTTGATACACAGGCTCTGTTGGTGGCTGTTTTGGGCCTCCCAGGTTTGAGAGGTCTCCTAGGATCCCTTCTTCAGAGGTGCTCCAGGCAGCTGACTGAGGTTTTCATCACAATTTATGGCATCTTTAAGTGAGAGGTGCTGAAGTTTCAGTCCTGCTATCCTCATCTTAGAAAATATTTTTTCAGACAGACTTTCCAAGTCATTTAGGTCCAGTATTACTTGTGTGTATTTTTGTGTGAAAAGGAACTGCTAAGGATGCCCTTTTAAAGCATTTCTTTGGAGGAGTTACTGTCTCAGGGAAGGGCTTTGTAACTCTGTTCACTTTTCTTCCAAGTGGCCCCACAGTTTTCTAGGACCTGGCAGGAGAAGAACTGTTCTTCTTTCCTCCTGCCTGTCGAGGGGAGGCATGGGAACATTTAGGATCTAGAGAGGAGAGAGCAGGGAGCACCGAGACATCCTGTCTTGATTCCTCAAGCTCAAGGTACCAGGTTCCCAGAGGTAATTTTTAGTCAGTCTTGGAGAATCCAGTGGGAAGCTCAGTTTGGGTCTCAGCTTCAGGGAGGGATCATCCTCTGCTTCCGAGGCCAGGGGAGTCCTGCTGAATAGGTTTTGCATGAAGGTTGTCTTCTAAGTAACCCCCAGGCCACAAGCCTAAGTGTGTGTTAGATTTGCCACCACTTAAGGCCTTTAAATTAGATAGATGCCTTTGAAAAATACATTTTAGCCCAGACAGAAAGCATGCACATGCTGAAGGAATTACAGGAGGAAGTGCTATGGCCTGCAGAACAGATGAGGTCAAATTAGATTATCATAATGTTCTCTCCAGTCCAAATCCGTGAACTGCAGCTCTCAAGTCTACCAAGGTAGCTCATGTTGGTGCATCTGGGGTCAGAAGCAACACACCTCGCATGTCCATTAGCAGGAAAAAAAAAAGGGGAGCTAGTTGGGCTGCAGAGGAAATGGTTTTCTGGTTCATAAAACAAAATTCCCAAGTCTGACTTTTCTATTTTGGCATTTCCGCTCGCTCTCCTATTTTTGTTTTGTTTTGTTTTCTTTCCTTGCTGTGTCTAAAACCTTCTCTCAGCTTTGTAAAATGGAAGTGGCAAAAGGAAGATGGAAATGTGTGAAGAGGAAATCCATGAGTATTACTTAGGGATAAAGGAAGAAAGGGAGAGGCTGGCACCCCAGTTCTTCATATCAAAATACTTGGTTTTAACAGGCACAAAAGGTGAAGCTTCAAAGAGGATCCCAAATACAGTGTGAGTTTCTCTGCTTCAAAAAGGGATCACTTCATTTTCTTTTCTGTTCCAAAACTGTGACTAAAAAATATGGGCTGCTGTTTTCCTGAAGGAGAAAATACAAAGGGGTTTGGGTTTTTTTTAGTACAGTGAGAGAGACTGAGAAGGGATCTCAGGCTGGCTGTGGTTTGTCAGGTGCAGCTGCTGGGGCTTTGTACATAGTGGGATCTCTAGGAAACACTTCTCTGGTTCCAAAACTCAGATCTCTCTGAGATGCAAGCTCAGGCCATGCACATGCTTTCTAAAGGAGATTATTTTTTCAACTGTAGGACACAAGTCCTGGAAAGGCTTCCATTCACAGCATGTGTAGCTAAGTGTCTTGGCCTAAGTTAGGTGGTGTTGGAGATCTCTAGACAGCACAAGGAAGTATTTTAACAGCCTCTCTAGATTCAGGCTACCACCCTCACTGAAACCTGAAAGAGAGGAGGAAGGTACCTTGCACTACCACCTCAGGCACAGCTAGTCCTCTGTCTAGTTCAACGTGTATGAGAATGCCAGAGGAGTTCAAGTCACAGCTTCCTCCTTTTCTACTTCAACCTGTGGGAACATGTTGTTCCGGATTCTTTTTGGGGAGGAAAAGGGGTTGTCCGTCAGAGTAATTTCTTTGGGCCGTTGGGTCTCTGATCTTGCAAGCAAGGTTATTTGTGTCAAACCAAAACTGAAAGAATGCAGATCATCTTTCTATTTCAAGAGTTGATCCGATGAAGTTTTGTGGTAGAGAAAGTCATATAAATTGCGAGATAGGAGGAGGCTTAGAACAAATAAGGTCTTTTGTCGTGGAACTTATCTAAACTGTGAAATCTTTGCTGCAGGATGTTGTTGCTAAAATTTGCATACGCTCCAAAATGATTGGGCAGATTTCTGGAAGGTCTTTTAAATACACAAACACCCCTTTGAATTCAGGAAATGCCCAGATCACAAGTAGGTTGGAAGATGATGGAGTATTCTCGGGTCCATGGTAATACCCTTGCTTTGTCTCTATGTTCTTCCAAAGTCTTCTGTAGCTGGTTGATATCTTGGGAGGTGTTGGGCAAAGCAGATCTCTGCTCTGCTTGGTGAAGCCAGTCTTCTGTTTGCCATTAGGAGAGAAGTTGATCCTACCAGACACTAGAATTGCAAAGATCCTGGAAGAAATGGGGGCCCGGACCCAAATCAGGTGTTTGAACTCAGGGTTTTGTTGTGTGCATTTGCATTCCGTGAAGCAGCAGTGCAGGAAATACACTGACAATGACGTCTTTGCATGACTCACTAATCAGTGGTGGCACCAAGGGTGCTTGGAAAGTGCTTAAACCCAGCCTGCATCTCCCTGGGCCTGCAGGTGATCTGTGTATGTGGATGAGTCGGTCGTGAGGGCTCAGCCTCTCTGTGAGGCAGCTCGTGCCCTGAGAGAGATCTGCTCTCTAAAAATACCCTGGAAGCAAACAAGAAAAAAGATCTGCTGAGGTCTGAGGAGGGTTCTGACCTTTAGGCTGCCATCTAATACTGTGTCCAAATTCTGGACCCTTTGCCTGAGGGGTTCTGAGAAATCACTTGGGGGCTGACGCTGGTACTGTCCCAGAGAGAAAACCACCATATTCAAGGGTGTGGATCTGCTGAGGGTTTGTGTCTGTCACAAATGCATATTCACGTGCACGTGGCAGAAGAATGGTGTGGTTGACTTGGGTATGTGAAGTGAGTTTCCCTGCTGACTAATGGGAGAACCTTCAGATGCTGATGGGGAATGTCTGTAATGGAAGACTGGTTTCTGTGCTTATGGTGGGCATGGTTTCCCTTACTTTGGATCGGGAGAATGTTAATTAATTAATCCTTAATCTGCCGCTCTCTGGAAATTTCAGGGATCAAAGCTACTTGTCAACCTGCTGTGGATTTCCAAACTGGATTTTGGATTTTCTTCCACAGATCAGAGGGCAATTTATGCAAATTCTCACGCGTAACATGGTTGCAGTGAACAGATGGGGAGGGGAGGAGAAGGGGAATCTGATCACCCCTCTTGCGGCAGGAGGCAGTTTGGCCTGTGGTAACAATGCCTCTGGAACAAAGGGTTCTCTGTGCTCCGCATCTGGTAGGCACATAGCCAAAAACACTGTAGCAGCAATGGTCATTCAGGTCTTCTGGGGTTCATCTGATATTTGCCAGGTGCCCCTGTGGGAGTGGGCAGGAACACCTGGACAGGCTGTGCTGCTCACCTGTGGCACGGAGCAGGCTCTGTTCCCTTGGATGAGTCTCATTCCCAGAGTTTTGGGAGCAGGTCTGCAGAGTGGGGTAAGGAGGGTCCTCGTAGCGCCGTGTGGGTGCAGCAGACCTGCTCCCTGGGTCCAGGCTCTGTGCCCATGCATCCTTCTCCCTGGAATCGGGCTGGCAGCTGGGAGAACCTTGAGAGTCGCTAATGCCCTCTCTTGACAGGATGGGCAAGTGGTTTCTAGATAGTTTGGTTTGTGTTTTCCATATTGAAGCTGTCTCTGCAGTTATTATTCTTCTGCCTGACTCTTCTACAAATATGTTGCAGTGGTTCCTTCTAGGACCAGCCCAGCCATTTTTGTTTGCTGTTCAGGTGGAAGGTGCCCGTCTCTTCAAACCCTTTGCTTGAATATTTTCAACTTTCAAAATCTACCCTTTTCAAAGTGCATCCAACATTTTGCAAAGAACTTGTGCTGGAAATGATTATTTTCTTAAATCTGCATGAGACTGCCATTTGCTTCCTCTTTGCAGACACCTGGGAGTGAAACAGGAAGATTGAAAGATATTAGGATGGGATTAAACCTTTTAAAAAAACTCAGGCCTTTTGGCCAAGGCTGGATGGATCATTTCCCACTATGGCATCTTTAAGTGAGAGGTGCTGAAGTTTCAGTCGTGCTATCCTCATCTCAGAAAATACTTTTTCGGACAGACTTTCCAAGTCATTTGGATTCAGTATTACTTCTGGAATTGGATTGGGACTGTGTGAAAAGGAATCGCTAAGGATGGCCTTTTAAAGCATTTCTTTGGAGGAGTTACTGTCTCAGGGAAGGGCTTTGTAACTCTGTTCACTCTTCTTCCAAGTGGCCCCACAGTTTTCTAGGACCTGGCAGGAGAAGAACTGTTCTTCTTTCCTCCTGCCTGTCCAGGGGGAGGCACGGGAACACTTGAGATCTAGAGAGGAGAGAGCAGGGAGCACCGAGTCATCCTGTCTTGACTCCTCAGGCTCAGACCACCAGCTTCCCAGGAGCGACACTTCCCAAGAGAGCGCGTGGTGACAGGACAAGGGGGAGGAGAGGAGGTTTAGACTGGATATTAGCAGGAAGTTCTTTGCTGTGAGGGTGGCGAGGCCCTGGCACCAAGGGGTGGAAGGCATCAAGCTATCAGAGAGCGACGACTCGCCTTGCGATGGGGGTGCGGGAGGGCACCCAACGGGGGCCTGGCCCCCGTTGGGTGCCCTCCCGCACCCCCATCGCAAGGCCACGGGGCATCGAAGCGCTGCAGGGCGGCTTTGTGAGCTGCTAATCCAGGCCCCAGCTGCCATGGCGGCCGCGTTGCCATCGCGACGGCCCCGCCGGCAGCCGCCCCTTTGTTGGGGCCCGGCTCGGCCCAGCCGGGAAGGGGAGAGTGGGAGGGAGGGAGGGGTGTGGGATGGTGGTGGTTGGTTGGTTGGTTGTTTGGTGGTTCACGGCCACAATAGGGTTTGTGGTTGTAGGCTCGGTGTTAGGCGGGGCTTTGGTGGTTGGATCACCCCCCCACTAGAGCAGGAGCTCTGTGCTGAGGCCACCCCTGGGCAGGAGGCGTAAAGATGCTCGTGGTGGGTTTTAGTGGCAGTGAAAATCCCGTCAGTTTTAGCCACACGTGGGGCTGAAAGCCCTGGTGTTGAGCAGGGCGAGATTATTTCACGTTACTGTGTGTGTAGATACCTAGGTATCTGTCTAAAGTGCAGTTTAGGGCAGGAAACAGCTTTCAGAGTACATCTATTATAGTAAATATGATTTTGTGAGGGGAGCACTTTTTTGAGGTGCTTATTAGACGCCTGATCTCAAAGCAGAACCTTGGGAAAAAAGCTCAGGTCATAGAATATTAGATGGAGGAAGGCTGCAGCCCAGGACATTGCTGTGCTGTGGGCTTGTGCGGATGTGCACTGGGCTTTGCCACTTGGAATTGCTCCTGCTTCCCAGGCTCTGAGAAGAGGGGAGGGCAGGGTCAGGCAGAGTAAGTCAGCAGCAGGACTCTGCTCATCACCACTGGGAGTTTTTTTTCTTGTGCCCATCTCTCATTTTGAGGGGTTTGTGTTCTCCAGCTACCTGAGTTGAAGTCTTGGGCAGGGGCACTGCCTCAGAGTGCCACTGACACAGCTTCCTCCCAGTGTTTACTGGGGAGTGGGGGCAGCTCTTTTCCCAGCCTTTTTTGTGAACTGGGTGGTGGAATGGATCTAGATTTTAAAATGAACAAACCCAGACAATAAAACCTCTTGTACTATTTTGAAACATCAAGTTTCCCCCCAGCATGTCACAGTATTGCTGCATCGTGAAGGGAAGGGGCAGTGGGGAACTGGCAGCGTGATGAGCTGCCCCCAGTGCCCATCTCCCTGCCTGGGTCTTGGGAAGCTGCCAAGGAATTGTTTCAGATCTATCTGAAATCTTATGTCCCCCGTATCTCCAGCTTGGATGCCCGGCACGTTTCTCAGGTGTTAGTTAATTTGGCTGAGGGAGGCTGAGCCAGGGCAGGAAGAGTGTGAGATGAGCAGGAGCCAGGTTGTCTGTTCTCACCCGGAGTGGATGTGTTAGACAAGGCCAAGGGCATCAAATATGATCTCTGTCTGCTTATGATGGTACTGGAAACATTTGCAAGGGCTCCTTCCATCTTCCTGGAACTGAGGTGGAGCCAGGTGTCCCATGTTGTCCTGAGGAGCTGAGAGTAGGAGCCTGTCCCTTCCCTGACAGGGACTGTGGGCTCTCTGCAGGCAAAGCTCATGGCTGCCTGTGCCAGGGTAGGGGCAGCTCTGCCCTCACCAGTGGCTGTTCCTGAGAAGGCAGCGATGCAGATGCTTCCTGGGAGGAGGCAAGGGAGCAATCCCGTGGAGTTGGGGGCGTGCAGGACTTGCTGCCCGGGGAGCGGCTGTCTAGCATGGAGGAGGCAGAGGAGGAGGAGGGCCAGGGCAGCTGCTGGCCAGAGACTGCTGCCACCTCCCCTGAGCACTTGCACGTCCAGTTTCATAATCGGATTAAGGCAGTGGTATTAGAGAGGAGGGATGGGTCAGTGGGACAGGTTTACACTGGAGCTTACACGGAGGGGATTGAAGTGTATTTTTTAACCCTGCTTGGCCTGACCCGTGGAGCAGTTTGGATGTGGCCCTGCAAGGCAGCACCCGCGGGAAGATGGGGGGAAAAGTGGCACCAGGCGGTGATGTGCTCGCAGGGGAGGAGAGAAGCCCCAGGCCGGCTGGGGGATGGGATCCGGCTGCCCCTCCCCCCGGGAAGGCAGCCCTGCTCAGGCCTTGCAGTAAATTTGCTCTAATTACAGCCTCCAGCAGTGGGAAACCTCACTTAGAGGAAAGGCTCCTCTGGGGTGGGGGCGGGGGCGCTTCCCAGCTTTCCCAGGCAGGCTCTGTTGTCTGAGGCCTCCGCTTCCCCTGTCGCTGGGAGGCCCCTTATTCCTCTCCCCTCTCCAGCTTTGCTTCTCTCCCCCCCTTTAATTCTCCTCTCCTTTGAGGCCGGGATTTGGGAACAATGCCTTCCCTGCTCCTTGCCCCCCGGCTGGAGCCGCAGGCAAACAATCGGGGTCGCTCGCTGCCAGGGGCTGGGCCGAGGGGGCTCAGCTCGGCAGCACCTGCCCCAGGCTGGTGGGGGAACCATGCTGGTTGTGGCTCGGGGAAGTGCCTGGTGTGGTGACCGCTCTGTGTGTGTGTGTGTGTGCACACCGTTTCCTTACAGGGGACAGGAGGTCTTGCCCTTGATCCCTTCAGGTTTGGGGAGGCCCGGGAAGCTCTGCACGGTTGTGCTGGAGAACGCTTTGGCAGCAGCAATAATCTGATCGCAGCCCTTCTCTTTGCAGGTGGACGACGCGATGCTGATGTTTGACAAAACAACCAACCGACACCGAGGTGAGAGCAGCCTTCTGGCCCTAGGAGAGGGAACTGCAGAGGGTCTGCCTCCTGCCTGGCCTAGGGAGGGGTCGGTACCCCAGCAGTAGGGGATGCAGGTCGCAGCTGCTCTTTATCTTGCCTCCAGTCGCCCCATTCTTTTGCATCTGCATCCTTTACCAGCGGCCCTTGCAGCACAGAGAGCTTTGGTCCAGTGCGTTTCCTGTGCTGTAAACTCGCCGAGTTGCAGATATGTGAGAGGAGATGGTCCCCTCCCCTGCCCGCTCACCTCCGTGGCTCCAGCCCGCAGTGTGTGTCTTACCTTGTCCCGAGTAATCTGAGCTCCAGGAAAGCTGACACGAGAGCCTGAAGAGTTGCCTGCTCCTCGCCCCTTCCTCGGCCCGGAGCCCGCTTGTGCTCCCAGGTCACCTTTTCTTACCCGAGTTCTGCTGGTGGAGTCTGGTTACAGGATGGGAGCAAGGCTGTACTATTTGTGCCATCCGGACCCAGCCTACCCATGGCCATCCTTGCCTCCTGCCTTCCTGGTGAGTCCCCGGACCGACTACCTGGTGGCGAGGCAGGGCTCGGCACTTGCATCCAACACGGAGATTTATTTGCCACAACTTAACCTGCAAACTGCCTCTTCCCAACCAGCGCCAGTAACAGCCCTGTGCTGGCTGCTGTTGTGTGTGTTGTTTGAAGCACTTCCAAGCACCTCTGCCCCCAGAGCAGCGAGGGAACACTCTCTGTGCCCTTCAGGTTTTTGCTTTTTTCTAAAGCCATTAAATCTACTCCGACAACCAGGCCTCGGATGTTGTTCCAGCTTCATCTTAAAGGGGAAGAAGTGTTAACCCCTGTTCCTGCTGGGAGGTACCCTGGGTACCTCCCAGTCACTGGTCCAATTAAAGAGTTGTTTGGGAAGGAGCAGGGAGAGCTGCCAGCCGCTGTGTTGGCAGTGAGGGGCTCAGCCCAGAGCACAGCAGGCCCAGTGAGGGCCTGACAGGGCTCAGGACTGGTTTTGGCATCAGGGTTTTGCTCTTGAATTCCTGAGCTGCTCTGCTCATGGGTGAACGGTGTGAAACTACCCGGGCACAGACAGACAAAGGAGTTCGTAGAGAAACATTTCTGGCAGTATGGAGGAAAGGTTGAGTTCTGGGCAGTGGATCCCCATCTGCTTTCAAAAGTTATTTCAAAACGCCATGGAATTGGCCAGTTCTGGAAAGCAGAAAGCTCTCCTTAATCCCAGCTTGCTTGTACAGCAAGCTTAGACATCCTCCCACCTGCCTCAGTTTTCCGGAAACGGCTGCAGTCAGCTGAGAGGAGTTCAGTCTGCCCACCCGAGCTGGGCTTTGCCAAAACTGTCAGCAGAGGGGTTGGTGAGAGAAAGGAGGTGTGAGCGTGGGCCAGGGGCCAGGAACACGCTGTCCTGCCTTACCCCAGATACGAACCTCACTTTGGTGAAACTTTGCAAATCGCTGTGCCTGTGCGTGCCTGGCTCTGTGCAGCTGCACTGCTGAGATGTGCCCGCTCACACGAGGCTTTATGGCCAGTGCCTGCCGAGGGAACTGCAGGGTGTTGCTGCTGGTGGGGTGCATTGAGCGAGGATGGTGATCTCCTGGCAAGCAGCTGTTGGTTCCCCCACCGACTCTTTGTGTGAGCGTCTGCCCGGATCCTCCCCCGTGTTACCAGCCGTGTGCTTTGCCTTGCAAATAGCGGAGTTTAAAAAACACCCAAATCTGGTTTTGAGAGCTGTTGGGTTCAGAGAGGGTAGGAAGTACAGGATGAGGAGGAAAGGAGACTCTATAAGGGGATAGTCCTGTTCTTGTGCATAAAAGCAGGATTTGCTGGAGAGGGAAGATGAGTGACAGCTGTTTTAGAAAGGGCTGATTGTACTGTCCCTCTCTCCTGCCAATAAAAGGCTGTGGGTAGCGGGTGCAAACTGTGAGAGCTCTGACCTGATCAAGGAGTTTTGCCTTTTCTCCAGGGTTTGGGTTCGTCACATTTGAAAGCGAAGACATTGTGGAAAAAGTGTGTGAAATCCACTTCCATGAGATCAACAACAAGATGGTGAGTGTCTGGGGCAGAACCTGGGGGAGGAGGGACACAGGGCAGTGCCACAGGGGCAGGATGTGAGGAACTTGGCTCCCAAATCATTTTTCTCTGCAGTGGGGAATTGGATTGAGTCTTTTCCCCAAAATCACAGCAGTCAGTGTGGGAAAAAAACTTATCATGTGGGGATGAACCAGCAACAGTAGTGAGTTCTCAGGGAGGAGAGCTAACTGTAACAAGGAATTGTGCCGTGCTTGGAGGTTCTGAAATCTCACAAAACTTCATGGTGGCCTGGGAGGGGGCAGGTTTTACCTTTAATCAGAAATTAAGAAAATTAGGCTTTGAGGCCCTGGTGCAGAGCCAGGCAGAACATCAGGGGCAGCACCAGGAGGAGAAGAGCAGTGTTTGAGCTCCTCACTGGTGGCTGCAGGGCGAGGGAAGGCCTGCAGTGAGCAGGTAGGAGACAGGGTTGCCAGGGAAGGGCAGCGGAGCGGGATGATGGCGGTGACTGGAGCTGGGACAGGCAGCCCTGCCTGTGCTCTGTGGCGGTGTCCTGTGCCTGTGGCAGTTTCCTGTGCCCAGGACAGCCAAAGCCTGATCCTTCCTTTCTTGTGGCAGGTGGAGTGTAAAAAAGCTCAGCCGAAGGAGGTGATGTCCCCAACGGGCTCGGCACGAGGGCGGTCCCGAGTCATGCCTTACGGGATGGATGCCTTCATGCTGGGGATCGGCATGCTGGGTAAGCCCCCGGACAGCTCCCCAGCTCTCCCCCCGCTCCCGGCCGTGCCAGGCAGCAGCTTAGCGGTTTATTCCGGGAGCGGCGGGGCGGCCAAGGGCAGCGCTACCCGTGCGGGGCCGTGGGCGCTGCGGGGGCGCCGGGACCTGTTTGCGATCGCGACTTGCCCTCTGGTGGCACCTGGAAAAACTGCAAACGTGTCACCGCCGCCCTGCGACAGCCGGCCCGGCCCAGCCCGGCCCGGCTCTGCTCCTCGGCAGCTCCTCAGGGGACCTGCAGTGCCGTAGCACATGGACTGTAATTCCTTAATGCCTCTCGTGAAATAGGATGTAACCACAGAACCGAGTGTGGAGTAATCTGTGCCCAGGCATCTTACTCCCACTCTTATGCAGGCTTTCTGATTAATTAGTTGATTAAAGAGCCTCTGAACTTCCGCTTGAAACAGTGGTCTGTATAAATGTCTCCACTGCCAGTTAAGGACTGTGAAAATGCCCTTTTAGTTCTAGTTCAGTTTTGTCTCACTCTGTTCCCTTCCTTTTACATAGAGGAATTATCTGGTATGGCAGGGAAAGCTATACATTTATTGTGGGACTGTCTTGTAAGGAGAAATTGGTGACAAGTAGGCTGGGTTTCATGTCTATCAATGCTTCCAAGGCAAATATGTTCAGATAAAAGATTAAAAACAAACAAACAAACAAAACCCCCCCTCATTGGTAGCCTGTACTTGCAGGTCTACAAACCTTCATGCCTGGATCTGAGAGTCAGCATGATCCTTCCAGCACGGGTGCTGTTCCTGGCTTCTCTCTGTTCCCACATTGATTTGAGCCAGGCCTGAGCTGACCCAAGAGCACTGTTTGCTCAGGATCATCACTGGTGTTGCTGGGCAGGGTGTACTCAGCCTGGCTCTCAGTGCTAAGCCTGCTGAGTAGCAGTTAGTCACTGAAACAAAACCCCCAAAAGGGCATTTTTTCCCCAATGTTTTCACTTGACTTATTGAAGGAAAATAAATCTCCAGCCTGTGGTTTTGGGTTTTGCCTTTTCTAAGCCATCTGAATTTTAAAGCAGCGAGGCCCAAGCTGAGTCACTGGGAAATCCACATATTCATGTCTTTGGAGATCTCAAATCAAATATTCATCTCTGAGTCAGTGCCCTGCGTTCTCAGAGGCTTGTTCTGTATAGGTGGTCAGCTTCCCCGGGAACAGCAGGAGTTGCCTTCCTGCCTGGAGCTGGGCAGAAGTGCTCTGCCTGCATTCCCCAGCACTTCTGGTGCAAAAGTGACTCAGAGCTATTCAGCCGTTCAAATGCCCCTTCCTCCCTGATCTCCCGTTTGCAAATCCAGCTGATGCATCACAAAGCCTTAGCCTGCAGAGCTGGGAGTTTGGGAAGGAAATCTCCATGTCCTTACATGTTTGGAGTGAGGAAAAATTAAACGGGCCTGCTAAAACTCCTCTGCAGGCTCGCACGCGTTGTGTGCTCTGCCCAGCACTCCCCTGGGGTTTCTGCTGTTCCCCCTATTTCCGCTTTCTAGTGCCAAAGGATGGTCGTGCTGCTCAGGAGCAGCCAGGCACTGAGGGCACGGACCCTGCCAGCTTGCACTAACAGAGCCCTTTTCCCTTCCCCAGGTTATCCAGGCTTCCAAGCTGCCACCTACGCGAGTCGAAGTTACACTGGCATTGCACCTGGCTACACTTACCAGTTTCCTGGTGAGTGGAGCTCCCTGCTGTTTTTTTGTTCTGCCTTCAGGTGACGGGAGTCCCTGGCATGATCCATGACCCAGGCTCTGCCCCTTTCACCCTTTCCCCTGTTTGGTCTTTCTTTAAATTGGAGACGGATGTGGAAGGGGGAGGGGAGAAGCCCTGGAATAGGTGGGAACAGCCTGTCCTTCATTAGGATTATCCTCACACTGCCGTGGCAGGAAAAGCCCAAGGCTGCTCCGACGCCCTTTGTGCTGAACTCCTCTGTAGGGCTGCTGCTGTGACACAGAAGGGCCCCGCAGCTCTGCCTGTCTCACCGCCTTTGTGTGTGTCTGTCTCTCTTTACCAGAGTTGCCACCGCTCTGAAAGTAGCACAGAATGTTAAACCCCATGTGCCAGGGAACTCCTGGGCACCTGAAATGCAGGCGCCTGCAGCGCTGCACTTGTGTTCTGAACAGCACCTGGACCACTCACGGCCTCCACAAAGCATCTGCTGGGCCAGGGGGCTGCAGATCCCCCACAAACTGGGTGGTTTCAAGCTCCCAACCCTGCCATGTGCTCAGAACATGGACTCCACGATCAATGGGTGGAACCTGCTGTGCCACAGCTGCTCGGAGCTTTGTGGGGCCTCCCCTCCCTCCTGCTCTCTGCCAGGCAGGGGAGCGAGGCAGAGCACACTCAATGGATAGACTCATATTGCTGTTTTTCAGAGAAGTGGCAACTCTGAGCATCCCTTCCTTACTCCATCCCTCAATGTGATGGTTGATACATGAAGTTTTGATATTAGGGGCTGGGAATGGGAAGTTTCCCCTTTGCCTGAGGCAAGCCCAGGCTGACTATGGCTGAAAGCTGCTGTTGCCTCCTGGCTGTCTGGAAGCTCTCGGCGAATCCAGCTGTAGTGGCTTCAAGTGCCTCATTGTAAACCCATGCCAGGCTGAGCGTGGCACGTCCGGAGCACCCGCTGGCACTGCCACCAAGAGGTCGGATTGGCCAGGTCACAGAGCAGTGCTCCAGGGCAAACCTGAGGCTGCACTGTGAAACTTGCGCTCACCCTGCCCTGGCCACATTTATTCTAAGGATAAATGGATCCTTTCAGCCTTCAGGGCAGGAGTGCAGCACCTTTCAGCACCAGTTATAAATCAGTTTGAAGAAGACACTGGCCTGGCCGCAGTCTGGCTGCAGGCTGCTCCCCCAGCAGAGCCAGGCTGCTGTGTCTCTGCGGGGTCTCCCTCGGGGGATTGATGAGTTCCTAAGCTGTCTTGCATTTCATTTTTAGAGTTCCGTGTAGAGCGGACCCCTCTCCCGAGTGCCCCCGTCCTCCCCGAGCTCACAGGTCAGTCCCGCTCATTTCCTAAACTCACAAGCTGGAAGGGGAGAAGGGGGCTTTGGGCTGTTCCAGCGGTGTTGCTGCTCCACAGCCTGGCGCAGTTCAGACTGGAAGCATTCCTTATTTCTTCTTTCATCTGAACGAGCTCCGTCCAAAGCTAGGGCTGGAGAGATGAAGGGGCAATCAGAGCCATGGGTATTGCCTGTAAAAAGGGCCATGCAGGTCCTTTCCTGCTGCTTGCTTTGTTTTTAGCTCCTCGTCCCAGGCTGAGTGCAAACCAGATATGGAAAACTGCAGAGAGCAGGGTGACTGCCACAGGTCACGAATTACTTTAATCTGAACTTCTGCAAGGATGAGATTTGGAGTGCTGGGAGAAGGGAGAGGGTGTGGGGGCTATTCCTAGTTATTCCAATCCCGTTTCCCTGGGCAGGAGTGGCTGCAGGGAATGCTTTCCTTGCTCTGGGTGGGGCAGCTCCCCAACTACTCCAACACAGGCTTCCCAGGTAGAAGTGAGTGTGGTGGGACTCTGCAGAGTCCTGCAGTGCTCACGGGGAGCTGTGGAATGAAGTGAGAGTAGAGAACCGTTTCCAGTGTCCTCACAATGCAAATACTCCCTGGATCCTCAGCCCCTGGGCTGTGTGCAGTGTGTTCTCCCTACATGATGTTCCTTCTGTCTACTCTCCCTTCAATAGCAATGTTTTCCCCAGCTCTGTCCTGTCCGTGGTTTTTGTCGTAGAAAAGCAGCTTTGTGTAGCACCCTGCTCCCCGTGTGCCATCTCATTTCCCTGGTGTTCCTTCTCCCAAGCGCTTCTTTGCCCCCACCTGTTTCAGGGTTTGAATTTCTCCGTAAAAGGGTGTGGGAAAATTTCCTGGGAAGCTCTCCTGAAATTAGCAATACAAACAGCCTTGAAAGGGAGTTTCTGTGGCACAGAACTGTGGGATCCTCAGGTTCCTGGGGACGCTCAGGTTGGCAGCCACCAATGAACAAATTTCCCTGAGGGAGATAAGGGGAGACTAAATCTCGTCTCCCTCTTAACAAAACCCCTCCCTGACACCATGTATACAGCTGCATAAGCAGCTCTGAGCCTTCTGGTTGCCAAACAAAGGAGATGTGGGTCCAGTTGTTTATTTACATGTGTGTTTTTCAGCAAAACCCATAAAATTTGTAGGGGAACATCAGTGATTTGGCAGAAATGTTTTTCCCTCCGTGTCCACCGCTGGCTGCCTTTTCCTAGCAGAGGTGACCTGCCTGGGGCCTGGCTGTCACCGGTGGCCGGGGCTCTGTACAGCAAGAAGTTATTAATGCTGGTGTCCTGGCTGGGTGCCACGTTAGCTTCCAGTCCCGAGCTGAAGTACCAGCTGGGGATCGTGGCATTCTTCCCTCCCTGCTACGCTTACCTCCTGTTAAACAGGCCCTGTGCAGCCGCTTGGCTGGGCCACGGGCTGCCATTCCCATGTATAGGCTGGAGTTGGCCCCGTGGAGGGCAGGGCCCCTCCGCTCCCACAAAGGCCCAGCGAGCTGTGCAGCGTTGAGGGCCCTTGTGCCTTGGAGTGGCTGCGGCACACACGGGCTGCGCTCCATGGGCCTGGCACGGGGAGCCGAGGGGAGGGGATGGCACGGGCGGGGATGGTTGCTCCAGCACCCAGGGAGTGGGCAGGCAGGTGCTTTGTCACCGCAACACAAACCTGGTGTCTCAGCAGATTAGATTGCAAAGGCAAGGAGGGTTTTTCCTGGAAAAAAACCATGGAATTTTAAGAAGACCGAGCCTCCTTTCTCAATAAAACCGCATTCATTCACGAGTTAGGGGCTTGCAGCAGCGACGGGGCAGGAGGGTGGCTGCCAGCAGCCTCTCTCCCAGAACAGCATCTTTGGGGGTGATGTGAAGCAGCAACATGCCTGCGTTGGCCCAGGGCCTGTAATGAGCAGCTAACCCAGATAGGAGCCTCATATGACGTTTGCTTGAAACAGGCTGGTGCCTGCTACTAAATATTCCCTCATAAGCTAGTCTGGGTTTCAGCCTTAACGCGATTGATTTGTTCTGACCTCTTTTTATGGTGCTCTAAACAGAATCACAGTGAATTTCACATTCAAGCATGAAATGCTGACCCAGTCATTTTAAGGGCAAAGAGAAACATACTGGCTAGATGCCTCCTGCCCTGAGGGCTGGATGCCTGTGGCAGTAGAGTTGGGAATTAGAACTGCTACATATAAATTAAGACTTACTGTTTTAATTAAGTCATTTCTAGTTCCTGCTCCCTAGGTATATGTTTCCTGCTTTTCTACAATGAACAATGAGGGTTTGAGCAATTCAGGAGCAAAACTCAGCATGGGGAGGATGGTGCATCTTAAGCAGAGAGACAGGGAGAAAGAGGCTATTAAACTGTTATTCAAGAATACTACCAAGAGACAGAGGAGGAGTTGAGCCTCAGGACGTTGAGCTTCAGCTGCTGTCCCTGAGCTGCTGCTTTTCTCCACATTTACTGCCAAAATCTGGATCTGTAGCTTCAGATTAACTGCCTCTTGCAAGCTAAGTAGTGACAGGATATATCTGAAATTGCCCACTTCTGGTTCAGCTCTTCCATGTCATACCCTTGGCTGCTCTGGGGTGTGGGCTTGGCAGAGCGTGGCTCGTGCACTCCCCCGGACACCGGCTGTGCAGAAGGACACGGATAAATGCAGGGCTGTGCACTTCCCTGTCGTCATCCTTTGTTGTCCCCTGTGGTGCACTAAAGCCGTATGTACGTGCGGACCCAGTATTTTGCAGTGGGAAATGAAGGCTTCTGTCGAGGAGTTTCCCATGGAGCCACAGTGCCCCTGAGATGCCTGTTCCTTCTTTTCCAGCAATCCCCCTCACTGCGTATGGACCGATGGCGGCAGCAGCGGCTGCGGCGGCCGTGGTGCGAGGGACAGGTAACTGCCACTGCCCTCCCCAGGGCGGGTCCTGTCGCCGAGCTTTGCGAGGGGCCACGGGAGGGGGGTGGGACGGGGTTGCATTTTTGGGATCTTCACTCTGTAGTTTTGCTGCCTGCTGTAGGTTCCACCCCCAGTCGCACCGGTGGATTCCTGGGCACCACCAGCCCCGGGCCAATGGCAGAGCTTTATGGAGCCGCCAACCAGGACTCAGGGGTCAGCAGTTACATCAGCGCTGCCAGTCCAGCCCCGAGCACCGGCTTTGGGCACAGCCTAGGGGTGAGTGCTCCTTCGAGGTCAGCGTTCCCTGTCTGCCCTAGGGCTCGGTGCTCCCTGTCGGCTCTGTGGAGAGAGGGAGATGGAGAGTGGCATGGCCAGGGCAAGGGGCTGTGCCCCCACAGGGTGATGGAGGTGAGCAGCAGCGGGCAGTCCCCTCAGCCCACAGCCTGGTTTCTGGTTAAGAAATGCCACCCACTGCAGCACTGGCTGAGCCCCAGACCACAGTCAGCCACTGCAGAATGCAGCAGCTCACTTGGAACCCACATCCCTGGTCTCTGCTGGGTCTTCCTGATCACCCCTCAAGGTCTTGTTCTCCAGACCTTTCTCTGATCTGGCTCAGGCTTTCCAAGAGCCCATCTTGGCCCTGACACGCTGTGATGTGCAGGGTGATGTGCTCTTTAGATCTGCCACCTCCAACTGAAACCAGCTTTCCCAGCATCTGAGCCATGACTGAATTTGCTGTGGTAGTAATTCTCCTTTGCTTTGCTTTTGTTTAAGAGTGAGGTTTTAACTCTTTCTTCACAGGGTCCCTTGATTGCAACAGCTTTTACCAATGGGTATCACTGAAGCTGGGGACCAAGAAGGCAGGAGGTAAGAGAGCTTTGAACAGGAGTGGGAAATAAGAGAGGGGAGTAAAGTTCTGAGCTGGCCCTGCACTTGATCTCTCAGCTGAAGCTGTGGATGCTGCTGTGAGGCTCACCAGCCTGATCCCGTCCCTTGGCCAGCCTGGGGCTCTCTTCTGCACCAGAAGTTGGGTGCCTACCTAACGCTCCCCTGGCTGGGAGTGTCGTGGGGAGGTGACTTTGTGTCTGGGCAATAAGAGGAAGGAAATGGAGCACTGACAGAAAGAGGAAGGGGTTGGCCAGAGTCACAACCCAGTGGTGATCCTGAGAGATAAGCTTGGCTCACCTGTATGGCTGGGGAAGCCTCTGCCATGCAGCTGGTTGTTCTCACTGCTGCTGAGACCAGTCTCTGAGGAGCAAGGTTTTTCATCTCCTGCCTGGGAGAAGGGTAGAAGGAAGATCTGATTAGTTCTGTTTCTTGACCTCAGATGGGCCAGAGAGGGGATTGGTGGATGGTTTTTGCTTTGCAAATGTGACTGTAGTGAGCTGGCTTAAAATAAAATTCAAAAAACCCCAACAACTGGCTTTTAAAAAAGGAGGGCAGAAACTTGCAGGAGTCCAGGCAGGAGCCCGTGGCAGCCTGGTGGGGATGCACTGAGGTGGGTGCTGGAGAAATGACTGGACCTTGCTATGTCCCAGCCCTTCCAGGGTTCAGGAGCGTGACGTGGTGCACGGGAGCACGTGAAAAGCTGTGGTTGTTCTAGATCCTGTCCCTTCCCTCCCCTGCTGTCCCACAGATTCCCCAGTGACCTGACCGAGGACAGCGAGCGGCTGGAGGATCTGGTGAGCCTCGGGGGATGAGCCAAGGTTACCTTTCTCTTGAATCAAACTGCACACTGCCGGCTGGCTGCCAGGCTCCTGCCGCCCTGCCCCGATCTCTCCCTTTGACCAGACCACACTGGACTGAACCCGAGGAGATCATCTCGCTTTCTTACTAACCACCGACGGTTTACGCTTCCCCCCTCCCTGCCCCCAGCCCACTGATTCTTCTTTTATTTATTTTATTAGCTGTTAGTTTTATTTTTTTATTTTATTTTTTTATCTTTTTTTGGGGGGGGCTGCCCCTTCTTTTTGTTGTTTGCTCTTTCCCGAGCTAGTAGACATATTTTATGAATTGGCTTTGTGATTGTGTTAGGTAGGTTTCATTGAGGAGTATTTTTATTTGGCTTTGAAACTGTTTTGAATATTTTCAACTCTGTTGTTGTTGTCGTCAGTGTTTTTAAAGCACGGTATGTAACAAGAATGCAGTTCTGAAGGGAAGAAAGAGACACAGAGAGAGCAAAGGCTGAGAGGAACTGCTGTATTTCTATTTTTTTTAAAGAAACTGTTTTTAATTGTTTCTGTTTTGTAAATGTGAGGCTTTGAAAAGTGTGAAACTCCAAGGATCCGAAAACGTTGGACATCGCTATGGAACAAAACAAATGTATATTTTGCTAAGTGAAAAACACTATCCTTACAGCTGAAAGATTTTTTTTTTTTCCTAGGTTTAGTTTTACGTGGGGTTTTCTTTTTCCTCCTGTATAATATGTAAATATCGCGAGCTGAACCTGGCTGCCGCCTGCAGCCTGGCTCCAAGGAGCAGCTCCAGGTCCTGGACTTGGAGCCGCAGCGTGAGCAATACTCTCCAGCAGAATCCTGACAGGACTCCGTTCTTTTTTTGTACACCTTTTACTGTAAGATTTAAGATTTTAAGACCTCTGATGAGATGAAAGGGGGGCGGGGGGAGGGGGCGGGCGGGGGTTAAATGTACCGGCCATCGGCTGTTTTGCTGAGCGGGTTAAAGCTGCTTCCAATTGCTCGATGTACAGACTCCATCCCTGGGCTCCGTAGTGCCGGCTCTGGGCTGGCTTAGGGAAAGGGCTTTGCCGCCGTTGCTTGTCTTGGTTACTTAGAAAGGAATTCACTCTCCAAACATTATCGCTTGTGTCAAGATTTCCTGGGGAAGGGGATCCTCCTCCGGAGGCGAGGGTGTCGGAAGGGGTGTCAGCCAGGGGGAGATTTGGGTGGTCGTTCTCTGAAGGGCAGGGCGCTGGGATGGGGATTCGTTAACAGGGGAGAAAAGCATTAGGGTGGTGATTTGGGGGCGGGTTAAGGGCTTCTCAGGGATTATATGAATTATAGAATTGCAGCTTCCCGTTTGCTTTACTCTGTGTTCTGAAGACTGTGGGAATTTGTCCATTGTCCTGTGCGGGGGTGATCCGGTCCCTTCTCCAGAACCTGCCGGGGCCTCCCCTGGTGTGGTCCAGGCCCCTGCTAACCAGCACTCTGCTAGGGGAGGCCTCCAGCAGGAATACACGGGGCAGGTTTGGGTCTGGATTTCAGTGAACCAAAGACCTTGTTAAGGGGGGTGATTAAGCCTTTTATTAAGATGCAGCCAAACTCTTTTCCCAGGGAAATAACAGCTTCATCTTAAGTTTTAAAAATCATTCCCTCTCTTCCCCCAAACTGAGCCCCTGTAAGGGAGAGGGGCGTTTAAGAAAGGACCGGGAGGGTCACGGCACCCACAGGGCCCTTTTTTTCTTCCATCTCTCCCCTGTCTGCCGGAGCTTGTCCTGACCTGGGCGATGCGTTTGGAGAGTTCTGTTTAGGTAAGAAGGTACTTAACAGATCAGTACTGAAAACACAAAGCAATAATTTTTGTTACTGAGACAAGAGTCTGTATGTCTGTTTTTTTAAATATTTCCTAATTAAAGAAGAGCTGCATTTTATTGGGTTTATTTTTATTCTATATACTTCAAATTTGGGTCTGCGGACAGCGCTGTCCTCCCTCCTGGTATATGCGCTGAACTGCTTCCGTGCCCCCTCCAGACATCCCGGGCCAGCTGTGCTGCTGCTGGGCTGTGAGTCACTCTCTGGCCACTGCTGCCACTGCCTGGAGGCTGGGGCTCCGGTTTCAGGGTGGGCATTTTTTTTAAAAGAAAAATAAAGCTGTGTTTTTAAGCCAGTAAGTTATTACACTCCAATGTTTGTTCTCTCCACACCTGTAACCCTTTTTCCAGATTTCAGTTTTAAATTCCTAATAAATTATTTGAAAACTGTCCTCCTCTGTCGTTACTTGGGAGTGGGAGGGTTTTCCAATGGGGGAGGTTTCAGGTGAACTTGGACCTGGCAGGAGTCGCATCCTGCCATTAGGATAAAAGCCCCAGGCAGGGCTCTGACTCGCTGTTCTGCTCCTGCTGGCAGTGGCCCAGTTTATAATGTGAGGCAGGTCTGGGTTTAGTAAGAGATTGTGTCTCTTCTCTGCATTACAGAGGTTTTGTATAAGTATTTATAGGTTCAAAAAAAGGAGGAGATAATGTGGTGCTTAGAAGTTTGGCTCGTGCTCTGGGTTCAATGACTGTGGTGGGCCAAGTAAGCTAGATCTGAGAAAGTAAAATGTGGAGAGGGGAAGTCCTTAACAGACAGTGCTACGAGAGAAAGGAGAATTCCAAGTGAGAAACAGGGAACCCTGAGCAAGTCTAAGAAAAGAAGCCTCAAAAATAATTTAAGGTTGAAGTCTGTAATTTGGAGCCAGCTGTAAGCTGGGATGTGCTCATGAGCGTACTGAGAACCAGTGGCTTTGTATACAGCACAGGTTGGGCGAAACCAAAAATAGCATGGGTGGAAAAATCTTTACCCTGCTGGGACTTTTCTCACGAGGCACTCTTGTAATGTGCACGTGCTCGCTTTCCCACACTTGGTGATCCTCTTGTTGAGTTAGTATGAAATTCACCATGAGACGTTTTTGATTTATGACTTGAAGAGGCCGGCTTACTGGAAGTTTTCTGGGAAACGTAAGTAATACATCAAATACCGGGAATTGAGGAAAAAGGAGCTGGAGTTTCATAGATAAGAGAACAGATAAATAATAATTCTAAAAAAAAAGAGTAAAGGTGATCAAAGTACCAGAGGAGAGAGAGAACACTTCAGTGGATATTGAAGGGAAAGTCAGCAGATTGATCGATGAACAAAAGATTAAATTACTTTTTCTGAGCTAACTGTGGTACGGACTGTCCTTTACATCAGGCTTTAATGTTTGTCCAGTGCTCTGTTAGAACACTGAGAATCTTCAATCTATAACTCAGCATGTTTGCTATAAGTAACCTATGAGTGGGCAGCCCCAGAGAATTGTAGCATTCAAAGAGGTCAGAAATGTAAGAATGGGTTTGGCTGTTCAGCAGCATGTCTGGCTTTAACTATGGATGTGTCAACATCCTATGGATCCCGTGGGCACCCTAGCATATGTTCAGACCCTGTGAGGAGGAAAATGTCCTCATCACCCCTTCTGGAACCTACTGACACAGTTATGGAGCCCAAAGTTTCCTGCATAAGCACTGTGGTATATTAGGTTGTTATAGAAAGGTGGGCTTTGCCTCTTCCTCTGCTCTTAAAAACTTTGTTTGGTGCTTTGGAAATAAATGCAGGCTCTGACTACCAAGTCTAGGATCTGTATCTTGAGTGTGTAAAAATGCCAAACCTGTCACCCTGAAAATGCCAGAGCCTCTGGGGTCTAAATAGAGAGTGCAGTCTTTTGGACTTACTCTTGGCTGATTCCAGGAAGCTTTTTCTTACCCATTTTTTGAACGTCTTTCAAGGTTCCCAATTTGAGAAGTTGGGAAGTTAGCGACGTCTGCTGTGTATGTTGACACTTCTAAGCCCAGTTCATTTCCAGTGTAAATCCCTTAAGATCACGTAAAAACAGACACTACTCCTTGTTTAAGCCAGATGCAGACACTTTCCAAGTCACTTGGCTCCTGTTTCTTGCCTTCTTCTCCTCTGTGGTTTCAAAGTAAAGAACAGCTTGAATTTTTTTTGGTTCAGCTCATGCCAAATGGTTATTTGAGGTGAGTGGACAACTTGAACCTTATTCTCTGAATTAGGCCAGGAAAATCCACGGAGAGATACAAAATTAATGATAAGTGGGATACTATAAAGAGAGGAGGCAGGTATTAGTGACAGGTGGTTATTAGTGTGCCAGCAATTTCCAACTTAACTACCATACTGCTACTATTTTTCAGCAGAGAGGCCTTAAAAATATCCAGATCTTTCTGACTTCCAACAGCAGCACTACAAGAATTTAAATGCAAAAATTTAGAGTGCAAATATTTGCCTTCCCAGCTTTCATAGATTTCACTCAATTGGCCTTCACCTGGTCACAACCTCCCACTCACAGTCTCCGATGGAAGAAGTCTACATTTAGTAACATAAATACTGGCTAGTTTATCTCATGCCCATGTCAAGGTGAGCTTGTTGTATAAAGACACCAGTTTCCTTTGTCCCCAGTCTCTCTGTCAAGTCCTGCAAGAATGAAGTTCCTGGCCCTGCTTTTCCTGCTGTCGGGTGTGTAGGTGCCCTCACCCCCGGACTGGTAACAGCGAGCCTCCGTGTCTAACCTCTGTGTCTCTCCTCAGTGGCCGCAGCCAGCGCTGATTTCTCTTCCCGGGCCGTGTGGCTGTTCCGCAAGATGATCAAGTGCACGACGCCAGGCAGCCACCCGCTGCTGGACTACGGCGACTACGGCTGCTACTGCGGCTTGGGAGGCAGCGGGACTCCAGTGGACGAGCTCGACAGGTTTATAACACCCTGCTTTTACCAACCTCTGTCCTTGCTTGTGCTTTCCCAGTTTTGTGCCCCAGCTTCGTCTCAGCTGGCCCTGCCTATAAATGCTGCAAACCCTCCGGCTGCTGTGAACAAAGCTTCTTCTCACAGATCGATTCAAGGGAACAAGGCTGTGCAGTGTCACACCTTGATGCCTTATTACTAAGATAAAATATAATCCCAGCAACTCTCTTTTCCTTTCTATGGCAGCACAGTGTGCTCATTCCAGCATTTTTTCCAGCAGTGTCAGGCCAGCGGCCCGAGCGCAGCTCTGCACGCTCTGCCCAGTGCCCAACCATCAACATGTGCAGGGCTGAGCTGGAAAATGCCAGGAAATGGCTTGGGCAGTTTAGAGATCACACAACTCTGACAGCCAACACACCAAGCTTTGTGTTGGCTATGAGCTCTCAGCTCCACTGAGGGGCTGTGTAGGGTAAACACCGGCTTTTGCTTTTCCTGTGCCCAACAGACAACTGTGATGATGCTCCAGTAAGTACAGGTGTACCACGCATGTCTGGGACCATGAGCTGCCACAACCGTGTCCCTATGTGCTTCCTGCTCTCTTGTCACTGGGTTTCTTTTTGATTTGGGGGTGTTTTTTTTTTTTTTTTGTTCAGTGCCTTGTCAAAGTAACTCTAGCATATTTGTGTGTCTTAAAGGTCAGCTGAGCTTGCATTTCTGGTTGTTTCTGACCTTTTTCTCCTTGTTTCCCAGGTGCTGCCAAGTACATGATAACTGCTACGAACAGGCAATGGAAATAGAATCATGCAGATTCCTCCTGGACAACCCCTACACTAAGTTCTACAGGTTCAGCTGCTCCAACGGGCAGATTACATGCAGCAGTACGTCCACTTCGACATGACTCTAAATGTTCTCCATTCTCTCTTTGGAAGGCACAGGGCTGTGTTGCATTCACACTTCTGTGCCAAGAAGACAAGGGGGGCTGGTTGTCAGAAAAGGCATGCCTTGCACAGGCACTGGAGTGAATACTCTCCATATAGCCCACAATTTAAAGTTTATTAACATATATGGTATCCCAGGGAAGCCTGTTGCCTCTTCCAGGGATTGAGTCCCTGTGGTACTTTTCTGGGAGCCCTTTTAATGGCAGTACCCGAGAAATCAGAGTGTTAACTGAGCAGTGTTACACGGCTTTTGCTGGACACCTCTGATGAATGGTGAAGCCTTTATAGGGCTCTGGAACAGAGGAAAAGAGCAGAGAGGCTGGCAAACAGCAGGAGGGGAGGGAGGAAGGGGCCAGAGATGGCCGGGCTGGAGCACACAGCTTTGGGTGCGGAGGGTTAGTGGGGAGAATCCTGTGCACCCAAAGCGATGACAGCAGTGAAACGGGTACACCCTGACAGCAGAAATGCCAGCCTGAGCCACCGCAGTGCCTGGAGAAAGAGCTGCGGTGTCTGAGCGCTCCTCTCTCTCCTCCAGACAAGAACGACGAGTGCTCCATGTTCATCTGCAACTGCGACCGCGCCGCTGCCATGTGCTTCGCCAAGGCGCCCTACAACCCCGAACACCATAAGCTGGACACAGACGAATACTGCAAATAGTCTCCCTCGTGGCCCTCAGGGGGACCGCAGGACTTAAAAACCACCTCAATAAACGCCCTAAACGACCCACCGCTTCTCGCCGCGCTGAGGGAACGGGGGGGCGGGGACACACACACACAGGGCGCGAGGGGAGAGAGGGAGCCCCGCCCCCTCTGCCCACGGCTCGCTGTGGTGCGCGCGGCGCCCCCGCGTTCGCTGATTGGCCCTTGGAAGCGGCGGGGGCGGGGCGGGGCGCGCGAGGCCGCGAGCAGGTGCGTCCCGCGTGCAGCCCCGCCCGCCCCTCCCCTCAGGTACCCGCGGGCTGAGGGAGGGGCTGCGGCTCCTTGGAGTGACCCTACGGAGCGCTCCTCAGTGACCCTCCCACCTCCCTCACACTCCAGGGGCTCCTCAGGGCGACTCTCCCGCCCTCGTAGGGCTCCTCAGGGTGACCCTCCCGCCTTCCCTCACACCTCAAGGGCTCCTCAGGGCGACCCTCCTGCACTCCTTCCAGGGGCGCCTTAGGGCGCCCTTCCTACTCTCCTCAGCGCCCTCCCGGGGGCTCCTCAGGGCACCTCTCCTGCCCTCGAAGGTCTCCTCAAGAGTGATCCTCACGCCCTCCCGCACCTTCCCGGGGCTCCTCAGGGCGACCTTCCCACACTCCCTCACGCTCCAGGGGCTTCTCATGGCGACCCTCACGTCCTTGCCCTCCCGGGGGCTCCTCAGGGCACCTCTCCCGCCCTCCCTCCCACTCCAGGGGCTCCCCAGGGCACCTCTCCCACCCTCACGGGGCTCATCACGGCATCCTTCCCGCCCGCCTTCACCCTGGCGTCGCGCTGCCCACGCGTGGCCACGGCACGGCTGTCCCCCGGGGCACGGCTGCGTGAGGGGCTTGAGCTGCTTGACCGCTCCCTGCTCTGAGGGAGCCCTGTGTAGTCACCCACGGGAGCCCTTCCGCTGCCCGGCGCTGTTCGCGGTCAGGAGCTGCAGGGTAGGAGGTAATGTTGGCTTGGAACGCAGGGAGCCCCTCCGAGGGATGGTGTCTGCCCCAGTTTCCCAGCCCTGCCAAGGTCCTGTGCCAAAGCTGCCCCGCGCCCTTGGTACCGGTTTTGCTGGCACTCTTTAGGAAGGTGTGGGTGAGCTCCTGGGGCAGGGGCTGCTCACTCCTGTTCCTCACCAGAATGAACTGTTCTGCGAGAGGGCTCTGAGAAACCAGAAACGTGGAGAAGGAAGAAGCTGGCTTATGTTTTTGGAAGGTACTTGCAATGCCTTCCTAGTGAAGGTCATTGGATCTTTGAGGGCAGTAGGATGATAATGAGATAGGATAGTAAGTTGTCTTTTGTCTCTTTTTTTTTTTTTCTTTCTAATGAAAGAAAAAAGGGATAGCCAGATACTCCATCTTATGGCACACTGAATCCTAGTTTTGTACCACTATTTGTTGCTTATTTTTCCTTGGGTGTTTGTATACATGGATTTTCTGGAAACATTGAGTACTTGGGGTCCTCCACAGAAATCCTGAGGATCCTGGTTGTGCTCCCAGGATGTGGCCAAGGTGAATCATTCCTTGGGCTGGAAGTGCAAGATGAGATCTCCTGTGCTCACACACTGGCTCTGATTCTCTGAAATTATTTTTTGTAGAACAGTAAAGCTCCTAAGTAAATGTTACTGAAATCCCTTTGTAGTGATAAATGATAAACCCTATAGTAGAGGAAAAAAGTAAAATACCATCACTATCTAGAAGGAATGCTGTACTTTTGCGCTGTATCATCACAAGCAGAGAAGATTGCTGGGGTGCAGTTGGAAGCATTTCAGAACCTTTTGGTATAAATTTGGCCTGTAACAGGAACTGTCTAGATTTGAAATGAGCAGTGTATCTACTCCTGGCATCCAGCATTTGGGGCACTCCATAGATAAACTCAATAGATAAATGAAGGCTCCATTTCACTTTATATTCATCCTACTCCGTACAGATTTTATAAGCCTGCACTTAGTCCCTTGACCGTGCTTCTCATTTCCATGCGGCTTTGGTGGTGTGAAAGACCTAACAGTAAATTCAAACATCCTCCATCCATAGGGAACCTTCCCACAAAATGCAGTGTGTCAGGCCCTAATGAACAGCAGAGGTGGGGAGGCTGAAGGGGTTCTGCTAATTAAGGCTTTGAGGAATGTCGTGGAAAGAGCAGGGCCAGTGATTGCTTGAACTGGCTCACTGCCGGTGTATGGGGAGTGCAAGGTATGTGTGAAGATCTTCTGCCATGACAGCCTGTATTTCTGTTCCAAACCAGAAAGAAAGTACCTGAAACACAAGGTATCCCTGTGCTCAGCAAGCTGGGGAGCTCACACAGCATTGCAGCTGGCACGAGAGATGCTGGAGGGACAGCAGCTCTGTGGGCTCACGCTGCAAAGTGAAATCTCAGCCTCTAATCTCCCTTTTCTCTATTGTTGTTTTCTAGGCCAAGATTTTTCAGGCTCTGCAGGGAGGGCTGAATTACTCTTAACTATATGGGCATTGCAGAGATGAAAGGGAAAGTGCTCCAGCTGAGGTGAGACATGCAGAGAGCAAACAACTATGCTTGTGGTAATGATCCTGTTTCAGTTCCTGTTTGGGCTTGAGACCAACACAAGACACTTGTACTGTTGCTCTTCCTCTCAGGCTCAGCTTTTCTTCTTCTCTGCCACTGTCTAGTCAGTGGTGCAGAAGGTGGTACTTGGGTATCTTTCCTTAGTGGGAAGGGAGAGGACAGAATTGCAGGTGTCTGGAACAGTCTTTCACCTTCCTGCTGCAAAGGCTGGGAAAGGGTGACATCCAGTCATGGGGGAAGAAGCACACTCTAGAAGGCAGATTTAGTCACCTTCACTCCAAGGTTCCTGAACCTCCTGAGTTCACCATGCCCAGGGGTCTGGGTTGTTTTCCAGAAGTCGTGAACAAGCAGGTGTGTCAGTAGGAGCAGTGTGACTGTAAGATGTGGGAGGCTGCACTTACACCACAGCCACCCAGCCCTCCAGGCCATCTGCAGCCTGTCTTGCCCTCACTGGAGCTCAGTGTGTGAAACACCTCTCTCAGGCTGCTGGGCTGCATTACAGTTTGCTCTGAGAATTTGCCCAGAAACAAAGACAAGATTTGCCAAATAGGAAGTGGCTTTTATTTGCTTTGGGTAACTCCAACCTCACTTTCAGAGGAGCAGCAGAAAAAGCCATTATGAGGTACTCTCAGCTCCTTTATCCAAACCTCAGGAGGAACAGCTGTAAGAAAAAGGGAAGAGCATAAGCTGTTGATTCAACTAATTTCATGGTAAAAAACTGTCCTTGTGCTGTTGTCTGATGTGTACATTTGGCACCCATAGGTGGACAGAGCTGCAGCTCCAAGCCATGATCTACTGGTGGACTGGTCGAAAAACAGTGAGTCAGAAGAGGTGGGAAAGCATTGAATCATGTGGAGGATAAGACTGACTTAAAGCAGACAACACAGAAGGAAAGGATTTGTGAGAACACTGCTCAGGCTCTGTAACACTTCCCACAGTTTTAGCCAGTAACACAAAGATTATGGCCCTTTTGTTTTTATCTTTCAGGAACAATATTTCTTCCCCTTTTTAAACCCTCCTCCCTTGCAAATTCTGCATTGTCTGAGAGAATGAAGCTGAACGCTAGGTCAGTTATGTTACTGGGTTTGTTGTTTTCCCACAGCATGGCTAATTCACATCCTATAGTGCTCAGCCCTGAAGGTTTCTGTAACTCCCTCCAGGCTGGTGATGACATCAGTAAACTGAGAAACATAAACTTCTCAGGATAGGTCTTTGCTAGCTGCCTGCAATTACATAGCTATCTTCTGATAGCTGTTATCTCTCTGCATTGCATCTTCCCACACAACCAGCCCCCAAGGAGTGACAGGGGAAGGTGTCAATCAGCATTAGAGTGATGCAGATCTGGCTTTTGGTGCAGGAACTTTAGGCGCTCTCAGGCATTTCTCAGTTGAGTGAACTTCTCAATAGTGTCTTGGGGAACATGTTAAGAGCTGAAGTGCTCTGATCCTGCTCTAAAAGAAGTCAACTTTAGTAGTACTAGATCAGCCTAGCAGGGAAAAAAAAAAGGAACTCCTTTGTCTCAGCCACATATATTTGTTGTAGATATGCTCATTAACATATAGTAATAAGTTATGCACAGGAAATCTACTGTAATGTTTGTTTATTGTAAGTCATTGTCTTAGGGACTTGAAAGAATAATCCCTAGAGGGTCGGGGTAATATGACTCATCTGTCAGTAATGCTGAAGAGACACCCTGACTCCTCTCCCACAGGCTCAGCTGCAGAACTGGAGAAGGGGCAGGGATAGATGTGGGAGGTTTAGTTACCTACCTGTCACATAGCTAATTCCAAGTCTTCACTTGAAATGTTTACTTGTTTTGGATGTCTTGGCAATGCTCCCACACCTTCTCAGAATGCTGGCTCTACTGGCAGTAAACCTGCAGCCTCTGTTTTTGACACCCCCATGTCACAGGAGTTTCAAGGTAGGGCAGAAGATGATGCAGATGGTGAGAAACTCGGCCCCATCTCCTCTGCTAAGGAGGCATCAGTGACTCTTCGTACATGGAAAAACCTATGCAAATAAATTCCCTGTGTGTGCAGACTCTGCCCTACTTCAGCCATAAACTCTGCAAAAGCCTTGGATAGCAGGACAGCTGTACTGTGGACAGGACAGGTAAATATGGAGTGACATCTGTGTGCTTCCTTCACTGCCAAACAGCAGGCACCCGACTCGCTGCAAAGTGGGGTCCCCATTAAATGAGAGCAGAATGCAGGTGGGGGTCCTGAACTGATCTCGCTCGGTTTCTAAGTGAAGCTGTCCATCCTCTGGCTCATAATAGCCAAATCTTGATAAGCATTAAGCATCTTAATGCCCTCTACCTTCTCCAGAAATTGGGTGCCTATGGATCCCTTATTTTCTGTGCTTTACTTTCTCCTGCCTGACATGGATTTGAATCAACAACAAAGCAAAAAAGAACTCTGCATCACGTGGTCAGTTGTCCTTGCTTTGCTACTTGACCTTTTAGCAGATGACTCTGTCATCCTTGTTTCCAACTGCTTGTTACAGTTCTTGTCAAAATATTAGTACAGGACATGTTATTTGCAGAGTAGGAGGGGGCATTTGTAAAGCCCCAACAATTAATATCCCTCATAGCCAGAAGGGAAGTGGTAGATCCATGCAGAAGGTCAAGTCAAAAAATCGGTGTTCTAGTTTGTGCAAGGTTCTGTCTCTTACTCTGTAAATGGTTTGATATGGCTTACAATACCACCCTCAGGATCAACAAAAAATGGTTACCCAGTAGTGATGAATCTCCTGTTAGGAGTGTGGAAATTGCATCTATTAATAGCTTGAGATTACCTCCTGAGGGAGACCTATTGTACAGATTTAATTGTATTTCCCTCTTAATTCATCAGCTGCTAGTAATTACATTCTGCATTTTTGCAATGGAAAAAATGGATCTAAACTGGCTATTGAGAGTGTACTTAAATAAATCATAGGAGGGAGAGAAAATTACAATGCAAATAGTATCAATCTTGTAAACAATTTTAATTCACTACTTAGCTATTCATTAATTAAATAACATACTCAGAAAATGCATTCTGGAAAATGTAGCAGCCCCCCTGAAAGCAGTGCTGGCCAGATTAGCTTAAAGTAACTCCTCTGGCATTTCAATAATATTTAATTTTTAAAGGGTTCAAATAGGAAGCAGTTTAGCTTGTCAGCTGACAGTTGAGAGAAATGCTGACTTCTCCTTGCTGGATGATGTTAGCCCTGTAGTCTGTGCTTCCAAATAATCTCTTATGAGAGCAGTGTTTTTGTTCAGCTTCTATTTTAAGTCTTTTCTTTAAATGACAACTACAGTTCCTCTTGCCTCCTTTTTCCTAATGACACTGGATCCTCCAGCACATCGCCCTCCTGTGCTGTAGCCTCAAGTTACTCAGTCAGAATCCCTGTCCCTCATTCTCCTCTGGGGACAATTATAATTAAGCTACTTTATCCTCAGATACAGCAGTCCGATTATCCTGTCCCAGTGAATGAAAAGGCACTGTTTACCACGGCAAGGTAAGGCACAGAAGTGTGTTTTTTCATCATCATCCTGTTTCCTGATGGTTTCAATGGAGACAGCTGGCGAGGCTGACGCGTGCGAGGCTTGCTGCCCTCTCCTGGTGTTCTCAGCGGCCACGCACCGGGCTCACTGCTGCCTCCTGGATCGAGGTTCTTCCCCTTCTGAGATGATGATTCCTGCAGGAGTGGGAGGAAGAAGCTGCTTTATCGATGGAATCGATTACTTTAAACGGCAGTATCTGCTTAGGATTAGCCGGACCAGATCAACCAGGAACAGCTTTGGAATTGTCAGTTGCAAAGGCAACAGGGGGATCAGGTTCTCTGGAACTACAGATGAGCCCCTGTAGTTTTCTCATACTGAAAAATGGATTGGAATTCAACACTGCTGAGTCTTCTGGCTACTCCAGCCCATTTTTCTGAGAGCATTAGCACTCAGTATGCTTTTTGTTTACGATCATGGGAAACAGCATCATGGCCCATCAGAGCATAACTGTTACAGATGAAAATTTCCAGCCACATTTTGATGCACAGTGTGGGAACATCTTTTTAGTCAGCACATCTCAGTCTCAGCATTTGCCAGGAACCCATCTTCTTACCCTGTGACTGACCAGGGAAGGCACTCACCTTGCAGAATAACTTTACTCCTGATGGCTACTGGAGCTCAGCTGGTTGGGTCCTGTGCAACAATCAAAGGCAGCAGCTCCCCACAGCGAGAATTCAGTTTTAGGGATGCAAAGTGATCTAACCTGGTGGGCCCAATGTTAAGGACTGCAATTGGCAGCTTCTTCTCCCGGGCAGCAAGAGCAAACCTGTAACCAGAGTATACCTGCAGGAATACCAGAAGAGAAAATCACTGGCAGCTTAGGCCGGGGAAGAGCTACAGAAAGGAGTAAGGAAAGGAAAAGAGTTGCTGTTGGCAGTGGGAAAAGGGGCTGTACATGCAGGGTTCAGGTAGGAAATGTTTTCCTTCAGGATTGCACAGAAAAGAACAGTTTTTAACCTCTGTCAGCGAAGGATTTGCAATTTCATAGAAACTGAAACTTCATAGCAGCTGGAAGGGAAACATCCTTGTCTTTTAGTAAATCTCTGCAGCAGCTTTTATTAGTTATCATAGGTTCTTAAATGCTGCACTTTGATGGTTCTCACATGGCCCAGCTTAGGTGGTACAAGAACAAACCTAAGGCATTTCAATCATTCCTGTACAAAGGATTATAAGCTTAAGAAGTGCAAGCTCAAGGAATTTGTCTCCAGTATCCTGAAGCCAAGAGAATCACAATCAGGCAGCCTTGGTTTTATCTCATTCTGGGAGGTGTTACAGAAGGGGATTTTAATGTAATAGAACTTGTTCCTGAAAAAATTTCTCTTATACAAACACTATTACAAAAGCTTCTATGGTTTTGAAACCCCTGTTGTTTAATTACTTTACCTTATCTGTAAGAGGCTGATGGAGAAAATACACTGGGATACAAAGGACAATCCTAAGCAGTAAGGAAATGTATTTCAGCTCTCTTTTTGAGAATTTAATAAGGAATTAGAGGTCCTAAAATCTGAAATTTCACACAGCACGCCATGAGGCCTAAAAAGCTGCCAAAGGCTAAAAATTTCAAGCAAAAGAAAAGTGAGGACTGAATTGTGACAGGTTATCTTGGCTTTGTGGGCAATTGTGAACCTACAGGAGATGGAGGAGGCAGCAGAGAGGGGTCTGAATGGAAGTATTTATGGCAGCATGAAGTGACAGAGAAGCCCAAACAAGTCACCCATGGAGCCAGATTTCAACCACAGTAAAAATAAAATACGAAGAAGCTCTGCAAAGGCTGATCTGATCCATAAGCCATTTGTAGTCCTACCCTGTAGGACCCAGGATGGCTGCAGGCAGAGTAGCAGGGGAGCAGGGATGCAGTGTGGGAGGTGCACCTACTTACCTGCATGGAGGATCCTGCCACCAGCATGGAGTCTGATTCCGCCAGGCGCTGGTGTACGAAGCTCACTTTGTCCTGGCTCACCGTGTCTCCAAAGAATGTCACGTCGGGCTTCAGGATTCCACCGCACTTACGGCAGGCTGGGACTTGGAAACTGCGCACCTGCTCATCCGTCAGGAAGACATCCCCGTCTGGAGCCACGCCAAACGCCTCAGCCTTCCAAGTGGGATTCAGAGCTTCAAAGTGTTCCTGGAGCTCAGAGCGCAAGATTCGGTCTCCACAGGCCAAGCAGAAAACCCTGAAATTCAGAGCAAAGTCTTAATGGAGAGTTTCATGTCAGCTGAAGATCTGGAGCCTGCAACTTGTTCCTTAGGAGGCCTGTCATGACTGTCCATATTTATTTACCAAAGAGTACAGGGCAAGGTCTTTCTACCTCCAACTGTTGCTTTGTTGCTCTAGAGGAAATGTTTTGAACCCTGTGCATCCTCTCTCCCAGTTCAGGCTGTGCTTTTTCATCTGGAAACCTGGGTAATCCCAGCCAGGCTGTGATGGCCCTTCTCCAGTCTGCTCATGCTGTGCAATTCTGGCACTATCCACTCTGCTTGGCCCTGGTGGATAATCCTTGTATCCTCAGGATCCCCTTGTCCTGTTCACTAAGAGGACATTTGCTGCACCAAGGAAAGGGGAAACTGATGAAGGCTTCAAGGGGAATGATCCAAATAATGCTCTGAAAAAACAGAGTGGTGGTCATTTTTCTTAAATACTGTGCTGTGAACAGCACTGGTTTGTGATCTTTTTCTCCACCCCAGCCCAGCACCACCTTTAAGCACCTCATCCCCAGGAGCACAGCATGGACGTTTTGCCTGGTTTCTCAGCAGGTGACGCCGCAGCAGCCTGTCAGTCGCCCCAGAGGAGAGGCTGGGGCACTGCCCACCCTCCCCGTGCCCGCAGCTGTACCTGTGTGTGCAGCCGTGCAGCTCTGTCATGCGCTGGCTCCCGGCCTTGGTGTGAAGGGCATCCACGTTCTGGGTCACCAGCCAGTGCAGCTTCCCCAGCTTCTCCCAGTCTCTCAGTACCAGGTGTGCTGTGTTTGGCTGGTGGGAGGAGAACTGGGGCCAGCCCACAAAGTTCCTTGCCCAGTAGCGCTGCCGGGCGCTGGCGCTGCGAACGAACTCGGCGTGCTGGACAGGCCGTCTGTCTGTCCTGGCGTAGAGCCCGACCCCTTCGGAGCGGTAATCTGGGATCCCTGACTCGGTCGAGATTCCAGCTCCAGTCATTACAAACAGCCTCTTGGAGTTAGAAACAAAGCGCTGCAGCTCCTCTACTTGCAGGGGATCTGGGGAAAGACAGGCTGGCACGAAAGTCAAGTCTGGAGAGGTTCTGGACACAGAATGGGATCTGAAATGATGGAATCTGATGGCTCTGAGAACTCCAGACAACTTCCTGGCAGAGAACATGTTCAGCTAAAAGGCAAGAACAGAACACAAGGAAGGTAAAAGAAAGCGAAGAGCATGACCTTAATGCCATTTTCTTGGGATTCTCTGGAAAATGATGCTCATACGTATTCTTTGCTCTTTTTTCTGTTTAGTAAAGAAACAAATTATTTTGGAAACATTAACTAAAGCCCGCATCCGAGGACAGCACTCGGATATCCCTTGGACAGATGGCAACACTGAGCACTGCTCAAGGTACAAGGACAAAGTTAACAGCCCTGACTCGTAGGGTTTCTGCTCTTCTATCCTGGTGTGAAGGACAGCTGCATAAGGGGGCTTGTAAAGAGCCCAGAAAGACCTGAGCATGCAAAGTCTTTCCCAGGTATGTGCAGGAAATGGCAGGAAGGCCAAGCAGCCCACCCCAGAGGTGCTGGCTGTTTCCTCCCCAGAAGAGACCTTGCTCTGCTTTTTTAATCTTCTGCCTGCTCCAAAACAGTCCTTTCTATTTATCCCATCCTTAACATGTGTTGTGGGAATGGAAAGAAAACCAGCCTTGAATTTTTTTTTTTTTTTCAGGACAAAGACCTTGACTGGAGTTACTCCTCCGTGGTGTGTTTTGGTTTGGTTTTTTGGTTGTTGTGGTTTTTTTTTCCCACAAAAGGCCTGGTGCATAACAGGCCTTGAAATGGGACTGAAGATTATAAGGACACTCTCTAAAGGCCTTTGGCATCTCCTTTTCTGTGGGTGCCACCTCTCCAGAGTGGAGAGATGAAGGGGTACTGCTTTGCTTCTCCAGCACAAACAGGGGTGAGAAAGAAGGGATCACCCAAATGGGTGTGGGGCAGAAACAATGGCCTGAAAGGCAGGAATAGGACTGACACGCTGCTTATAGGGAGGAACAGCATTCCCTGCTGGGGACAGGCAGGATGACTTTGCTGATAAGTAGCCTGGAATTGTGTGCAGGACCTGTTGAGACAGCAGTAGATTGGTTTGGACTTTGATTTTGTTTGGGCTTTCTGGCAGTCTGCAGTTCGTTCTCCATTTCACTATTTTGAAACTATTTTTTCTGGGCCTCTCTGGGGTTTCGCATGAAAAGTACAGAAAGGTTTGAAAGTGACAGTACTGAGAATTGATTGTTGGGTATTTTTGCCTCCCACCATCTCCCTCAGCAAGGGGGCTCATACAGGATGCGGGAGGTGGAGGAGGAACTTTAATTCCTAACAAAAGGGCATGATCTCTAAAAGCTGATTGCAACAGGCCAGATAACCTGGTGCATCTAAATGGCCTTGCCTCAAGCCCCCAGCCCCCTCAAGTATAGTAAATGGAGCTCTTATAGTAAATGAAGCAATATTTCAATACATTTAATTTCAGCTGTAAGTATCATGATATTTAACTGATGCTAGTGGCAAAGAATAGATTTGTCTCAGTTAATCTCCAGCTCTAAAGGCTTTGCATAATCCTCAGTTGAACTGCAGGGAAGACTGGACTGCCTCCATAGTCTGTATTGCTTTTTAAATCTAAGCAGTGGATGCTGTTTGCAATGATTTTTGCCTTGTTTTGCTGCTTAGCAGGGGTTGTGTTGGGCATTCCCTCCGAAGAGGTTTAATTTCCCATATGAATTAATTAGAAGGGACAAAGTCTCCCAATAAACCAATTTGCTCTGAGAATAACTTGTCATGATGCTCCCTAAAGGCTGTTAAGCCAGTTTGATGATAATTAAATTGCTTTAACTGATGAAAACTCTTCATTCCTGCCCGTTATCAAAATATCTCTCCGAAGGAAATGTTCAGAGAGGAAATGAAATACAAATGTAATAGGGGTTGGCCCAAAAGAGAGAGGAGGCAAAAAAAAAAAACAGATAGATTTGAGAGCTGCTATGAACCAGAGAAGGACTGTGGAGGAAAGTTACAAAGGACAGAATATTTCCTGTCAAATGCGAAGCTGCTTTAAAAATCAGCGTTCTCAGACTGTACATAATAAGTGAAACCCTTTAAACGTATCAGTGGAGAGCTTGAGGGTTTTTTAAGGCACAGCCAAGATGCTCCACAGAAAAAGATCAGGCAAGGTTAAGGCAGAAAATAAACAGGATTCTACAAACGGTTACAGGCCAGAAATCCAGAGGGACTCCCACGTCAACCCGGTCTCTTGTGCTGTGATAAGGGGGAGTGCGGGGTAACAGCCAAACTAAACCCGGCTAATGGAATAAGAGGGATCCGGTGAATAATGCCTGGAAACTCACCTTTCATTGCTGCCGTGCCCGACCGCGGAAGGAAAGGGCTGACTGCCGGGAGAGGAGCTTTCTGGGAAATGTAGTTCACGGGGAAATTAGGCCCTAGGCACAAAGACTACAATTCCCATGCTTCAGGGAAAGGGAGGGGAGGGGTGAGAGAAAGGGTGTCCCAACATCCTGACCCTCGAGGCAATCTGAAAACGCTGAGGACTCAGTGGCAGCCCTCATGGAAACGTACAAGACTAAAATCCGATTTGATACAAATCATGTCAGAGCTTTGATAAAATGCATTGTAAATGCTTGTCCGTATAAAAGATGTATTTTCTTTTCAGTGATACTAACAGGTTTTAGGCTGATGGTGTGATTACACAAGTGATGGAAGAAAAATTAACTTAGGGCTGTTAAAAACATCTCCTCTAGCTCGGGAGTCAGGGCTGTGCCGACCTGCCTGCTGCCGACTCTGTGTGCCCTGGCAGAAACCTCTGATGCCTCTCTTCTTAGTTTCAGTCTCGATGATCACCTGATAAGCTGTACCAATTGCCAGGCAATAAGGAGGGTTTTGTGTTTGGGTTTGTTTCAAAGGAGGAGTATTTTTCTGAGGAACAAACCCATAGAAGGAAGGCCAGTCTGCTGCATAGTAGCAGCTTGACAATAGATGTTCACCTGTCTTACAGGCAATGGGCTCTTTCTAGTACCTTGGACTGCTTTTCGAATGCATTCGCCAAAGAGCTGTTGCTAATCAGTTCCAAACATTGCACGATTTCCTAATCCATTTTTCTTGCCTGTTGCAGTTATTTCCAAGGCCAGGTGAGCCGAGCCTGTGCCCAGTACTGTGTGTAACTGTGATCATAAGGAAGAAGCGCATCCTGCTCGCTCGCTGTGCGGTGCCACCCTGCCCGTCCCTGGGCCCTGCGGAGGTGTGGGGCGCGACTCTCTTTTTGGCAGCCCCGTGAGTCTAAATCACTTTTAGTGCCTTTTATCTTAATAGTTCAACCGTGCGTGGTTTTAAACCCTTGGGTGGTGCTTTGCTCTGGTGCAAAGGGCAGGTGGCACCCGGCAGACCCCGTTTCACCCCGGCGCTCCCCGAGGGGACCCCCCCGCTGCCACCCGGGATGGGACACGGCGATTTTTGGGCGATGCCCTCGGCTCAGAGCAGCCCTTCCCCCGGCGCTTATTACCATAGCGCCCTCCCGGCACCCTCCGCGTGTCCCGGCCGCCCCACCGCCCCCCGGGGCATCCCCCCAGCGCCCCCCGCTCCATCCCCGCTACCCCGGCGGAGCGCGGGCTGTGGGCGGGGGGCACGGGCCGGCGGGGCGCGGGGAGCGCCCGGGGGCGCTCTGACCTCCCCGGAGGAGCGGTGGCCATGGGGCCGGGAGGGTGGAATGATGGGGCAGCTTTGCGCAGTGGCAGTATCGTAGCCTGTGAGGTTAATCCGAGGCGCGATTATTGCTAATTGAAAACTATTCCCAATACCCCGCCATGACGACTTGAAATATAGTCGGCATCGGCAATTTTTGAGAGCCTCTTTAGAGGCGGATTTCACGTGGTTGAAAGAAAGATGTTTTAACAAGAAGTGACAGTATATCATGCTAGGATGTAATTAAGGTCATGTGGTCACTGAATGAGTAACGTTTCTTGACCACCTAATTTCCCTTCACTTTCATTTTCAGTGACCTAATTTTACTCCCGCAGCATTGAAAGAAAAAGGCAAGAACCGGACTTTTTATTTAAAAGTGCCCTCAGTTTATTAAAACCCCGTTGTTGGCGGGATGGTGGTGGGGAAGGGGCTGGGGTGGGGCTCCCCGCCGGCTGTAGCCCCTCGGGGCTGGCTGGGGATGCCCAGCCCCGGCGGTGCCCAGGCGGGGGTCCCGCGAGGATGATGCGGGGGCGGCCGGGACCCTTCATTCAGCACCGCGCTGCCGCTCTGACGTCGCTCCTACTTTGCATACTCCTCTCCCGCCAGCCTTCGCGGCCGTCCCGGGGCTCAGCACCGACGGGAAAAACGGGTGGCTCCGGCCCTGGCGGGGCGCGGGGGGCGCGGAGCGGGCGGGGGGCGCTGCCCGGGGGGCTGCGGGGCGGAGCGGGCGGGCGGCGGGGCTCGCCCCGAGCTCGGCGGTGGCCCCGGGGCCAGGGGCGGCGGCGGCGGGAAAGAGGGGTTAGCTTTGCGCAGTGGCAGTATCGTAGCCAATGAGGTTAATCCGAGGCGCGATTATTGCTAATTGAAAACTTTTCCCAATACCCCGCCATGACGACTTGAAATATAGTCGGCATTGGCAATTTTTGACAGTCTCTACGGAGACTGAATTTCATTGTGAAAAATAGACAAAGTCTTGTGCGACAACTAAGGAATTGCCTTCTGATACCTGCTTCTTAAGCGGTTGAAAAACTTCCTTTTTAGCGATACACATGTTTGTGTTCGCTGTCAGCAATGCCAGCGCTAGCCTGTGCCACAAACGTGGCTTAATAAATTGAGGGTCCCTTTGCATGAAAAGCCATGTTCTTGCCTTTTCTTTGTAAAGCTGCTGAAGGAGGAATCGGTCAGGGAAAATGGAAATGGAGGGACCGAGGTACCAGAGAAACGTTTCTCCTGTAGCTCTTGTTGAGGAGGATCCTTTGAGGAGCTTGGCCTCTCAGAAGATAGCTTAGGCAGGGAGGAGGGGGAGCTTTTCTGGAGCAACTGGAGGGGCATTAAAGTCTGAATTGTGCTTGACTGGCTCCAGAAGTGCTTCAAAACCTATTAGGGAACAGCTTTCACTGTAAAGTACTGTAACCTCCATTTTGTGTGCATTTCTTTATGTTATATCCATTGGCATCACTTGCTTAAAAAAAAAATAGAAAAAAGAAAAAGGCTCCTTATTGTCAGAGAAATCACAAACCTTCACTCTGGAAAAAGCAGCTGCTGAGTTTAGTGTTAAAATCCTATTATATAAGTAAACTGAATCCATTTCTAATTTGCAGCTGTTGTCTTATTTAATACCTAAGCAGACCTTGTGGAGGGAGATTTAACAACCATTGCACACCAGCTCCCTGGGCTGAGTCTCCACTGGAGCTGGAAGCAGCTGCCGTCCATCACTTTGTATGAATCAGATGTAGCTTGTGCTGCTGACAGGTTCCTCTGACGTTCTCTGCACAGTCGCGTGTGCCATCTGGATGCTCCTGCCCTGCCGGTAAGACCCTGAGCTGGGCAGCTGCTTTAAACTATAGCCAGGCAGGGTAGAAAACTTAGTAGTGATATTAGTGTTCCCTCTTTAACGGTGTTTTTTGTAACGTTCAGTTATGCTGGGGTATTATTCACAAGAGTGACCAAAGACTGATGATGAAACCCCACAAGTTGCATGCACTATCGTCTGTAATTAATGGTGCTTTTCATCAGTGGTACTGTGAAATGAACTTAGATCGCTCCTCTGTTTGGCAGCCAGTCTGAGATTACAGCCCTGAAGGGGACAGGTGGACAGTTAATCCATGCAGTCTGAGTGTCAAGTGTTTGGGGGTTAAACCACCCTTCTAGGGGGCTGGTCTGTAACTGGTAAACGATGCTTTGACAAGAAGGAAAGATGCCTTGAGCAAGTACTCTGAACATGGGTTGTGTGGATACAGGAAGCCCTGAAGTCCAAGATTTTGTTGATGTTGACTCACTTTCTGACTTCATTTCCAGCTCCCAGCCCTGTTTCCCATCTGTAAATTGGGGTCATAACTTCTTGTTACACCTTCTGTGAAAGATAAGGGTAAATCACAATGTGTCGTAGCCACAAGGAACAGCGTAAGAGCAAACCCCGTGTATTTCTCTGATGCACTGCCTGCCTTCATGCCCTAGTACTTCCCATCCAACACCAATTAGGAGGGATGTAGCTGCTCTCAGCATCACTAACCCTTCTGGGCGCACCTTGGGTATGCTGTTCCAGGGGGAAAGAGATTGCTGGAGGTGGAAATCACCTGGGAACTGCAGCTGCTTCTGCCCAGCTGTGTAAAGATGGTGCTTGAGCAGGTGTTCACAAAGTCAGCGAGCGTTTGAAGCAGAGAGCAGGTAGGTGATGAGAAAACAGTAGCTCCAGGGTGTTAGGAAAGTAGGAGACAGTGAATGTTGCTTGAGTGAGTTTAGCTTGAGCCTGCAACTGAGCAGTTGTCTTGGCAGCTTGGGTTTTAACCTGCCCCTAGTCCTCAGGCAATCACAGGAGGGGTAGGGACTGGCAATTTTAGAAAGAAATGTTAGTGTGTGAAGAATTCAGTTGTGAACAGCACGTGGCTTTGAGCACTGCAGTGAGAACAAGTATTACTAGAGGATAATATCACTCATGTGGCAGCCTTGCCTTCCCACCTCCCCCAACCCTTTCAGAGCAATGCTGAAGCCACTGGCAAAGCTTTAGATGCAATGACTTTTTTATTGTTTTGTTTTTAACCCTGAGCAGCTTGGACACAACCCACTTCTTGCAGGCACAACCCTAACTAGTCCTGTGACAGCTTAATTTCAGCCCTGAGACACAACAGAAACTGCTTTCTTGATTTGCACTCACTTCTAGACTCCCAAAGGACACGGTAGGAAGGTGAAGATAAAAATTGCTCCAATATGAACAGTGGGCACTTTATTTATGCAGAGGTAAAAATACAACCCAAGCCAAGACACATGCCTGCCATGTTGCTGTAGGAAACACGCAGATCCCAGGAAAGGACATGTTTCTGATGACCTTAGGTCTGCTTTGCCACCAGTCAGTGGCAGTGGTTTATGTTGCTGCACCTGGGGTGACATCCCGAAGTCATCATTGCACAGTCAGTGGTGGGTTTTGGCAAAATGTAACAGTCCCTTCAAATAATGTTTTAAATTTTCCTACGGGGGACCAGCAATGGGGGTGTCAGGTGAGGTCCTTGGCATCAGTGGTGAAGCACACAGTGAAAGTCTTTGCTCATATTTGTGTTGTATTTAGATCTAGGTAAGGACATAATTTTCTGACAAGTCCTGGATTTGGAGTAAAACTTGGCATGAATTTCTTGGAGGCTGTTGACTATTTGTAAGCATTGGCTGGGATGAGAGAGGGGATATTTACCTGCCCCCCTAGTGATAGTTCTCATTATAGCATGAGTTAACACAGGAAATAATGATGTCTGACTTGTGCTAACAGGGGAAACTGGGTGTGTTTGTGCCTAGAGAGTGAAAAATACAGCACTGGACATTGCTCACAGCTGACCTCATGGTCTCTGTTTTTATGGAAATGAAATCCCGTAATCTCGGCTCAACAACAGGACATGTGCTGTTCAGCTCTGGGAACATTCTCTGACTTGGTAGTAATTTTGTGAGGAAAAGTGCTACAAGAGTCATGTTTCCTGGATCCTTAGCAGTTCCCACACTGATAGTTTTTGGTGTATCTCTCATCAGATTAGGAGCTGAACATTTGGGCTGAGCAACTGCTTTTACTGCCGATTTGGCCAGAGTGCAATGGTAAACACTAGCTCTGATGAGGGTGGAGCTGTGCTGTGGCTCGGCCAAGGCAAGGACTTTGCTGCCTTGGAGTGTGGTTTGATAGATGTTTGAAAGGAAAAGCAAGTGGGAATTTATTCAAGATACTCCTCCTGGGTTTATCATACGATAGTGTGTTACGCTCTTTGAACACAGCAAAGGAGAAGTGGTTGGTGACTTTCCTTTATGGTGGCCACAGCTTATGGAAAATCGTTCAGGGAGGGTTTCCCTTGCCCAGCTTCCCTTGTTGGATGGCGTAAATCAGCCGGGGCTCAGAAACGATGATTTCTTTGAAGGTTTTGGGGCACAATTTTGCTATGTGCTGGGCTCCTCCGGGCCCGACACCCACCCCGCCTGGGGAGGGTCCTGCTCCTCTAGTGAAGAGCGCGGGGTTCGGGTCGCGTTCCTGCCGGGGCACCGCCAGCCTCGGCCGTGCGAGGGGCCCGCAGGCGAGCGGGACGGCAGGGCGGGCATCGCGGCGGGAACGGAG